TTTACCACACTTGGTTTGTGCGAATATCCGATAACAGAAATCTTATTATTCCTGGGCCGAAAATCGCTTCAACGGTTATTAAGCGCCAATTGTATATACGAGTATATTATATGAACATTAAAATATACGAATATATTATTTTTAATCGGAAGTAAGCAAGTACCAGAAGAAGTATAGAAAGATCCTCCAAAATTTATACTCATCCGATTGGAATAACGAGCTGATTTGATCTATTGGAAGGCAAACTTATTCCTCAGTTTTTGAGATAATTCAATAAAACTTTGAAGCAGATGTATCTTTTATGCTGTCTTGATTATTAAACTGAATCGTTCAGATCGGTGTACCTTATCATATAGACCCCATTAAACTTATTTGATCACATATGAGGTTTCGACTAAAAAATATGTCAATCCGTTGGTATGAATTAAAATAGATATTAATGGCGAATATCATGAATCATGTTCATGAAAGGTATAAAGACTTTCGTATGAAGAAAGCACATCATTCTTGGATTTTTTATATCTATATGTTCATTTTATTCATATTCAAAATTACACATCATCGTTACTTGGTTGAACATCATATTTGGATGTTATAAAGACAAGAACTGGTCTAACCGTATCAGAAGCAAAACAGAAACTACATTTGAAAGGAATAAATAGAAATATACCATTCTTCAATCAGTTGTTCTTCTGATGTATTATCAGATTCTTGTGCTTATAAATATTTGCAAAGCTCAACCTGTCAGTCATTTGCTAACACCGTTTTGTTGTTCTTCAGGTGCTATCAAATTTCTTATACAATTTTTAACTAAATTATAACTTCTATTAATTGTCAATATAAACAAGTGAACTTGCACAAAGCAAATTCTACGCGTAGAAACAGAAATTAAATAAATACGGAAAATAAACAAATTAAAATACAATAAAAAAATAATGTAAATTAAAATAAATTAAAAATAAAATTAGTTAAAATAAAATAAATTAAATTGTATTAAACTAAAATAAAACAAAATAAAATAAACTGAAATATATTAAATTGAAATCAAATGAAATAAAATATAAACAAATTAAAATTAAATGGAAACAAATTAAAATAAATCAATACAAAATAAAATAAATTTAAATTATTAAATTCAAATAAATTAAAGGAATATAAAATATGAAAACATAATAAAATAAAATTTAATAATTTAAATTTAAATAAACTTAAATAAAATAAAACAAAATAAGCAAAACTAAAATAAAATAAACTCAAATAAATTAAAGGAAAAAAAAAATAAATAAACGAAATAAAATAAAATGTAATAAAATAACTTAAAAAAAATTTAAATAAAACAAAATAAGAAAAAAAATCAAATAAATTAAAGGAAAATAAAATAAATGAAGTGAAATAAAATAAAATAAAGGAAAATAAAATAAATAACGTGAAATAGAATAAATAAAAATACATTAAAATAATATAAAATAAATTAAAATTAAATAAAGTTATTTAAATTAAAATAAAACGAAAAAATATAATATTAAAACAGTAAAATAAAACAAAATAAAATGAAATAATATAAAATAAATAATATTAAAAAAAAACAAATAAATTGAAATGAGGTTAAATAAAATAAAACAAATTTCTCACTAACACAAATATGCATCGAAAGAAAAGTATTAAAAGTAATTTAGATTTTGTTATTAAGTTTTGTTATAAGATATTTTATTTGAAAAACAAAGTCATATATAAATATTGCGTTTCGCCTATTTGTTAAGTTACTTCAAAATAAATTTAAAACACAACCAAAAATGTTGGCTGTGGTAAATTTAGTTTTTTTTTATTTATAGTAGAAACAATTTTTGATAAATACGTAAATATCTACATGCAAATATAGTACGGTGTAAAATGTAGTGTAAATTTTATATTCAAGGGGTGTGTTGCGTCGTATGAGTAACATTTTTACGATCATTAATAACGAAGTTTCAGTATTTTTTTTTAACTTGAACTAATTAAGTTACCCTAGTAAAAGATTTTATACTTTTTTTTCACACTGATAATAATATTTTAGTGAATATTTCAGTTACTTTAATTTAATTTTTCATTTTCGTAATCTTGTATGACTAGATTATTCATAAAATTATAATTCCAAAAAAAAAAAATTAAAATATATGAATAAAAAAATAAAATATTAAAAACTACATAGTATAATTTTAAAAGATTAGAAATAGAAGCTCTTTATTATATGCTGTCAGAGTTATATTCCTGCCTAGGAGCGACCGCATTTAGAAAAAATGTTTTAAATTACTTGCAAAAACAAGAACTTTTTGTATTTTATATTTTTAAATTCAGTAAATGCATGTATGAAAATGTATGCCTGAGATGTAAGCAGCGAATATAAGAGTTATAATGAAATTAATTATGCATTAGTTTATTTATCAATAATCTTTACATGATTGCCTAGGAATTTATATAAATGGCAAATTTACATCATTCAAAATAAAGGGGGGGTGGACATGCGTAATTCCAATTATTTATAATTAAGTGGAAATTCCAGAGCAAATGAAAAATTGAATTTCATCATTAACATCTAATTCTTGTACTTGCGACATATGGGCTTTGGTACGGTACATACATCGTGACATACATAGATTGTCACGATGATAATGCAAAACTTGTCGACAAATACATACATTTTTCCAAAAAAAAAAAAAAAAAACGTTAAGATAAGCGAGATTTAATAACTCTCTAAGGACGCGTGACTGTCTTCCGTATAAAAACATGTGAAACTGAGCTTTTTCGTTTTTAAAAAAGTTATTAGTCATAGGGTCACGAGCGTTACCCATTGCCAGTAACACTAAGGTAGGTTTAAATTTTGTAGACATATGGACCAGTTACACTCCTCTGCCTATAGAGTGCACCAAACAGTGACTTTTGAGGAGGTAACAGCGTCTCAACAATGGTTAGTGGAGTGTCTTCACTTCAAATGCTCCAAATTTTAATTTTTAACGCAGCCATTAAATCAAAAGTGAGCTTCATCGCTGAAAAAAATGTTCTAGTGAAAATCGGGATCAGCGACCAACTCGGTTTGGGTCCATTCACCGAATGCGTCACGCACTCGTTCGGCTTTAATATTACATTTTATGGGATTTTGTGTAGCCCGCAAACGAAAATGCTTCCGGAAAATCTTTCCTAAATTGGGCGGACGCAGGTCCAAATGCATATAAAGTTGAGAAAAGATTGTAGAACAAGAAATACTAGATCGGAAAGAGGCAGAAAAGAGAGTTCAAAAAACAGATATAAAAAAATCTTTACGACTTCGTGAACACCGTTTCGATGCACTCGTCCAATGTTTTATTTTATCTACTTGGTTGCCTATTTCGGCAATATTCGCTTAAATACTAGAATACTTTTAACACCACCCTCGTATGAGTTAATTTTGATTGTATACCCGTAATAGTAGCACAAAAAATACAAATAATATTATCCACTATCTATGACGTTGAACAATGAAACATATGTATCTACATACATATATATGTATGTAAGTATATCAGTACACAACAGTCTGCATTCACTTAATTTATCAATATTCCAACTAGACGATTTTGTCAATCTGTATGTATTCATTGGAATCAAAACTTGATAGCATCTACATATTTATGTTTATAGTCTGAAGTCTGGCAAATTGAGCAGTTTTTTTGGATGGTTCAACGAAAACTTTACATTAATTTGTTTGTTGTGTTGTAACGGTGCGAAAATTATCGGTCATAGCGGCGCTAATAACGGCTGGCTGACAGCGCTTCGAAATATGTCGGCACTGATTGCGGTGGCGCTAGCTGCGCTGGTTGTGTTGACTGCGACTGCCTAACCGCGCTGCTAGTGTATGTAACGATGGAATTACTGCTGCCTACCAACGCTGTTCGAAGTAATTCATTTTGGGCGTCTCGTTCTCGTAACTGTGCCTGGGTTGCTTTTAAAGTGGCCTCCAGCATGGCCAAGCGTTTTTCGATGTCGTCGATGTTATGGCTAGTGGGTTTATCCTCCGTTGATTTACGTGAAACTTGCGCGGTGTCTGCGGCGTTGCGAACGGATACGATGGATGGGGCTCCATCATCGAGAGGCGCTTGGGCTGTTGTGGTGATGCTACCAGAGGTGCTGACTATCGGCATTGTAGAATTGGTACTAATTGCGACTATTGACATCAAACGGGCACTTCTCCTTGGCGGCGTCCGCTCCATACGCTTTTTTGATAAATATAATTATAATTCCACGACAAATAACGGAGACGTTGTGGCGGTGGTGATTTAAAAACGAACGACTCAAATACATGGGCGAATCCGCCTCAGTACAAAACGAACAGAATAATAAGGGGAAAAACACATAGCGACAAGTTTCCTATATGGCCAGACTAGTTCAAATAGTTGCATAGCTTAAATATAAAGTAGCGTACTGAGACATCACTTAAATACATGGTGGCACTCTGGGACAGCTCTCACATTATCGCATATTAGTGAGATATGGCATGGCGTATTCATATGAAAAAATATCAGAACAAATATTATTATTATCGAATTGAAGTCCAAAACTACACTAACAAACAGACCACAAATGAAAGAATATTTTTTTGCCGTTTCTAAAGAATGTATGAACTGCCTTTATGCATTTCTAGCGCCATTTCAAAGTGTAAACAATAACTTTCTACGCTTGTCCACAATCAATTTATGTTTTAGATTCAAAAATGTACAAGAATGCCTCTTAGTGAAATATCGTAAATATATATTACATATATAACTCGAACTCGTATGTAGTGTACCTAAAAACGATTAATCATTTTATTGCTAATATATTGTATGCCCACCAATTAATTGAGCTGATTGAACAACGTGTAGGTACTATACATAAAGCAAAATGTATTGATAAGATATCTATGACTATGAAAGAAGCAGGTGCTTTGGCGAGCAATAAAAATATATAATTTTACATATTTACCATTTTCAATATTATCCATCCGTTCGTAGCCAAAAAATTTCAGTTGGTGTTTCAGCGCGATTTAGGTCTGGTCGTCGGTTTTGACGGACAATCAACATTCACAGCGCATCATGTCCAACGTCGCCAAAGGTGTTGATAAGGACGAAAAGTCCTATTACCAAAGTAATTTAATACTGGCGGAAAAAATGCCGGAAAACGGAAATCCTGCCAAGTACGCGCTGTAAGTTTAAGTGTATAAGGATAACATTTTTTGTGGTTGCTCTTTTTTGCTGCTCGTCTAACAAAGCGTAAACATAAAAACTAAGAGCGTTGGTATTTTAATATCAGCTGAGAGTGTAGTGATAACGGACGCATTAAATCAATTGCGAAAATACCAGGTCTGAGTCAAACATGTTCATTTATTTGGCTCTATAAAGATATCTCTGTGTTTGTGCGCGTATCTATGCATATGGATACTTTATTTGAATTTTGCAAATTCATCATTACGTTATGAAATTTGATAGTGAAGTTACCAGTTAGTGAAATATGTGAACTTTTAATCGAATCGTAACATAAATAAAAAAATTAAAAAGATTGATGCGGGATAATTTAATATAAAAGATATTTGTTTGGAAAACAAAAAACTAACATTCGTTTTATAAAATATCTAAATATACGCAAATTGTTTCTCAGCTTTCTTTAATTAGTTTTTATTTTTTAATAAATACATACAATGTAGAAAAATAAATATATTTATTAAGATATTTTATTAAGATATTTTTTTGACAATTATCAAAACATTTTCAGACTTTAAAACAAACAATTTTGTTTTACATTGGTTCTTCGTCAGTTTTATTCATATATTCCGCGACAAATTTCTTATAAAATTTTCGACAAAATTATAATATCTATTAATTGTGAATATAAACAAGTGATCGTGCACATAAAATAAAAATAAAATTAATTAAAATGAAATTAATTAAATTGAATTTAACTAAAAGAAAACATAACAAAATAAAATAAAATGAAATATATTAAATTGAAATAAAATGAAATAAAATAAAATAAAATAAAATAAAATAAAATAAAATAAAATAAAATAAAATAAAATAAAATAAATTAAATAAAAAAGTAATCTGAAATAAAATAAATAAGGTGATATAGAATAATTTCAAATAAAAAATATAATTAAACAAAGCAAAATAAAATAAGAAAATTGAAATTAAAATAAAATAAGATGAAATAAATAAAATAAAGTAAAATAAAACAAAATATAATAAAATAATATAAAATAAATAATATCAAATAAAACAGATCAATAAAAATGAAGTTAAATAAAATTAACTGAAAATGAAATAAAGTAAAATAAATTAAAATAAAATGAAATAATTGATTTAAAAAATAAAAATAATATAAAATAAAACAAACAAAACAAAATGGAATGTTAAAAGCAATATAAACAAAATAACTGAAGGTGAAATTAAATAAAGCAAAATAATAATATAAATAGTTTGGGATAGGTATTTTATATTTGACTGAATTTCTTTGTCAGTAAAACAAATTTCTCGCTAACACAAATATGCATCGAAATAAAAAGTATTGAAAGTAATTTAGATTTCGTTATTAAGTTTTGTTATAAGATATTTTATTCGAAAAACAAAATCATTTGGAAATATTGCGTTTCGCCTATTTGTTAAGTTACTTCAAAATAAATTTAAAACACAACCAAAAATGTTGGCTGTGGTAAATTTAGTTTTTTTTATTTATAGTAGAAACAATTTTTGATAAATACTTAAATATCTACATGCAAACATAGTACGGTGTAAAATGAAGTGTAAATTTTATTTTCAAGGGGTGTGTTGCGTCGTATGAGTAACATTTTTACGATCATTAATAACGAAATTTCAGTATTTTTTTTAACTTGAACTAATTAAGTTACCCTAGTAAAAGATTTTATACTTTTTTTCACATTGATAATAATATTTTAGTGACTATTTCAGTTACTTTAATTTAATTATTCAATTTCGTAATCTTGCATGTCTATATTATTAATAAAAAATTATTTTCCAAAAAAAAAATTATAATAAATGAATAAAAAAATAATATATTAAAAATTACATAGTATAATTCTAAAAAATTAGAAAAATAAGCTCTTTATTATATGCTGTCAAACTTTATATTCCTGCCTAGGAGCGACCGCATTTAGAAAAAATGTTTTAAATTACTTGCAAAAACAACAACTTTTTGTATTTTATATTTTTAAATTCAGTAAATGAATGTATGAAAATATATGCCTACATCTCTAAGCAGCGAATATAAGAGTTGTAATGAAATTAATTATGCATTAGTTTGTTTATCAATAATCTTGGCAAATGAATGACAAATTTACGTCATTCAAAATAAAGGGGGGCGGATATGCGTAATTACAATTATTTATAATTAAGTGGAAATTCCAGAGCAAATGAAAAATTGAATTTCATCATTAACATCTAATTCTTGTACTTGCGACATATGGGCTTTGGTACGGTACATACATCGTGTCATACATAGATTGTCACGATGATAATGCAAAACTTGTCGACACATACATACATTTTTCAAAAAAAAAAAAGTTAAGATAAGCGAGATTTAATAACTCTCTAAGGACGCGTGACAGTCTTCCGTATAAAAACATGTGAAACTGAGCTTTTTCGTTTTTTCCAGAAAATTTATTAGTCATAGGGCCGCGAGCGTTATCCATTGACTGTAACACTAAGATAGGTTTAAATTTTGAACACATATGGACCAGTTACACTCCTCTGCCTATAGAGCATACAAAACAGTGACTTTTGAGGATGTAACAGCGTCTCAACAATGGTTAGTGGAGTGTCTTCACTTCAAATGCGCCAAATTTTAATTTTTAACGCAGCCATTAAATCAAAAGTGAGCTTCATCGCTGAAAAAAACGTTCTAGTGAAAATCGGGATCAGCGATCAACTCGTTTTGGGTCCATTCACCGAATGCGTCACGCACTTGATGCTCGTTCGACTTTAATATTACATTTTATGGGATTTTGTGTAGCCCGCAAACGAAAATGCTTCCGGAAAATCTTTCCTAAATTGGGCGGACGCAGATCCAAATGCATATAAAGTTGAGAAACAGATTGTAGAACAAAAAATACTAGATCGGAAAGAGGCAGAAAAGAGAGTTCAAAAAACAGATATAAAAAAATCTTTACGACTTCGTGAATACCGTTTCGCTGCACTCGTCCAATGTTTTCCTTTATCTACTTGGTTGCCTATTTCGGCAATATACACCCTCGTATGAGTTAATTTTGATTGTATACCCGTAATAGTAGCACAAAATATACAAATAATATTATTCACTACCTATGAAGTTGAACAATGAAAAACATATGTATCTACATACATATATACACGTATGTATGTAGGTTCATCAGTACGCAACAGCCTGCATTCACTTAATTTATCAATATTCCACATAGACGATTTTATCAATATGTATCTATTGCATGTACCTATGTATTCATTGGAATCAAAAATTGATAACATCTACATATGTATGTTTATAGTTTTGTGAGTGCTTAAACATTATTTTTATCGATTGTAATTTAATTTATTGTTATTATTTGCATGACATGCCAATTATTAATGATAAAAGATAGCAATTCACAAACGTTAGAGAAATAAAAAAAGAAAGAAGAAGAAAGAAAGAAAACTGCGAGATATGTATATGATTAGGCTGGAAAATCCCAAAAAAAGTCTTTATTGTTATATTTGTATATGTATGTACTCATATGTGTTATGTACATATATTATAATTTTCTTTATATATGTCTGTATATACTTACTTTTCTATTTACATAGTTACATATATTTTTTCCTCTTTATTTTTCACAGACAAATCAGTGATGGTGATGGTCGGCAAGATGATACAACGAAGGGCAAGAAGAAAAAGTCAAAAAAAGATGATAAAGAAGAAGATGATGTTGAACCGGTTGCATTTTTAAAAATGTTTGTATATTCCACAACGAAGGATAAACTTTTATATGCTTTGGGAATTTTATGTGCCGTGGCCACCGGTTTGACAACGCCTGCCAACAGCTTAATATTTGGTAATTTAGCAAATGTAAGTTTTTAATTATGAGTAAATAATTTTAAATGGAAATATAAAATTATGCTGTGAAAAAATTATCCCATTTTAGAGTATTTTCAAAATGAATTCCCTTTTTGAAAAATAATAATTTTTTTGTTGATATAAGTTTTTAGTGAGGTTGGTGTGTATGAATTGAATATTTTTTTTTGTTATACCACAAAGAAAAATGGTAGATCACCACATTTCCTCATCAGACTTCTTATGGCAGGGATCGAACCAATGGATCCTGACATCAATTCTTTCATTTTCAAAACGGGGCTCAATCAGCACGTTTCTTGTTCGTTGTTCTTGTTGTTCTTGTTGTTGTTGTTGTAGGCGCAAAAATTATTCGCCAAAGTATTGGGTTGCCCAAAAAGTAATTGCGGATTTTTTAAAAGAAAGTAAATGCATTTTTAATAAAACTTAGATTGAACTTTAATCAAATATATAATTGCCATTTTGTTCGATAACCTTTTGCCATCTTCCTGGAAAATTTAGTATTCCACACTCATAGAACTTCTGGCCTTTATCTGCCAAAAAACTGAACCAAGTGCGATTTTATAGCCTCATCATTGCCGAAAGTTTTACCATTTAAGGAGTTCTGCAAAGATCGAAATAAATGGTAGTCTGATGGTGCAAGGTCAGGGCTATATGGTGGATGCATCAAAAGTTCCCAGCCAAACTCACTCAGTTTTTGGCGAGTGACCAAAGATGTGTGCGGCCTAGCGTTGTCCTGGTGGATTCTGGTCGCTTCTCCTTGATGGCTGTATTCAATTTGTCCAATTGTTGACAGTAAACATCCGAATTAATCGTTTGGTTCCTTGGAAGCAGCTCAAAATATACGACACCCTTCCAATCCCACCAAACAGACAGCATAACCTTCTTTTGGTGGATATCAGCCTTTGAAGTGGTTTGAGCTGGTTCACCATGTTTGGACCATGATCGTTTTCGACTAACGTTGTTGCAACTAATCTATTTTTCATCTCCAGTTATGATTCGTTTTAAAAACGGATCGAATTCATTGCGTTTAAGGTGCATATCACAAGCGTTGATTCGGTGTGTTAAATGAATTTCTTTCAATACATGTGGTACCCAAATATCAAGCTTTTTCACCAGTCCAAGACTTTTTATGTGATAATGAACGGTTGATTTTGGTATATTTAACTTCTCTCCTATCTCACGCTCAGTTACATGACGATCCAATTCGATTAATGCTTTGATTTGGTCATCATCAACTTCATTTGGCCGACCTGAACGTGGCTCATCTTTAAGTGAAAAATCTCCAGAACGGAATTTGCGAAGCCAATTTTGACACTGTCTTCCTTTTAAGGCTTCATCACCATACACATCTCGTAACTTTTTAGCAACCCTTTTCCTTTACGGAAATAATAAAGTAAAATATGACGAAAATGCTCCTTTGTGGGCTCCATATTTAAATTGACGCCAAACAAACAAATGTAAACAAAATTTCGCGCACTTTTTTTCTAAAGCAAGCTAAAAGTAACAGCTGATAACTGACAGAAGAATGAATGCAATTACAGAGTCACAAGCCGTTGAAAAAATTTGTCAACGCCGACTATATGAAAAATCCGCAATTACTTTTTGGCAACCCAATAGTTTTTGGGGAATTTTTCGAGAATGACACATAAAAATCCGGTTCGTTCCGATATGATGACCGGATTGTCGATGGAACTACTGGATTTTAGTCGCCGTTTATAGCAGGCATGCCTTCTTGCTGCGTAAAAATTCTTGAACCGCTAATCCGCAGTGGTCCATAGCCAGTTCATCAGCTATTCTTTGCCTTCGATGTCCATATGTACCGGTTCGCAAGTAAATGTAAGCTTTTATTTCTCTGCTCCCTGTAATTGTTTTTTTTTTTTTTTAAGAAAATATTTAGGCTTGATAGGGCACAGTAAATGACCGCTCTCACTTCACCGTTCACTTTAGAACCAGAGCTTTTTCTACAAATCTCCTTTGCTCCAAGTATATGCCTCTATTGTTGTTCTCATAAGATGTTCAAAACTATCGCATTGAATCATGAAGTCTATTCTTATATTTAGCAATAAGTAATAAATGTTGGCTAATTTGAAGTGGAATGTGACCAAATAGTGTGATATGAAGGATGTCTGGTATCATAGCTTCTATAATGAATTGCGTAGCGAATTGAGAGAAGATTACTCAGATCCGCGCTATGCACTAGCATCACCATTCTGGCTGTATTGTTACGGTACGCTTCTGGTTGTACAACTGGTATTATGATGGATTCTGGTCTTGGTGTATGCCACACAGTGCCCATCTATGGACTTTGCAAAATGAAGATATTGACTGAAGGTGGGTAACACATTCACCACCACTTCGAGTGTTAAATCGTTCGTGACAACATTAAGAAGAAATTGTGCCCGTGAATGGAAACAAGAGGTGGCAACCGCTGCATCCAGCTCATTGTTCAAGAAATCATATAAATGGTTCCGCTGCCCAGAAGCTCTCTTCCACTCAACTTTGTTGGGTGTGGAAGGCTTCGACAGCCATGAAAACCTATACAATGCGATCATAAAGCGTGATATGAATATCCGTAAGCATCTCTATGCCACATTCTACCAGGTACTGCTGACTGTATAGAGAAGGAAATCACATCAACAATGATAATCAAGATCTTTGCACTACCAGAACTCAAAGGCTTCAGACGGAACGGTTGTTCTTTCCTCGCTTCTTTGTCTATCTTCCAACAGATATGGATCTCGAAACAAGAACGCGACGAATCTGGAATATCAATTAAGCAAAGGAAATGTTTCGAAATTGCACATTATTTCACCAAACAAAATTCTAAAATTTTCTTCAATTTTTTTTTTTTTTGATTTTCATTCAAATGTATTATATTCTAATTATTTAAAATATTCCAAACTGCCTTCACATTGACCTCACACGTTAACTTGCTGTCCAACACAAATTCAGATATTCATAGCCCCTTAGTAATAATGCCAGCTGAAAATTCGTATGTGCAACCGTTCGAACAGCGCCAGTTCTGGGTTATTAATTTTTTAAATGTTTTATTGTCTACGTTTAGTCAAAGAAGTAGTTATTACAAGTTTTATGCATTCTTTCCCACATACATAAATGATATTTTTTTTATCTTTAGTATAAAAAATAATGATTAACCTTTCTTATTTTACTTTCTAGAGCATGATCTCGTTTGCTGATCCTGGAAATTCCACAGGCGCCTCCCTGGCTGATACCCTTTTGGATGCCGTGGAAGTGTTTGCCTATCAAAATAGTATAATCGGTGCTGTTATGCTCATTTGCAGTTATATATCGATAACGACTTTTAATTATGCTGCTAATGCGCAAATCTTACGTATACGTGGTAAATTTCTTAGATCAATATTACATCAGGATATGGCGTGGTATGATTTCAATCAAAGTGGTGAGGTTGCCAGTCGAATGAATGAGTAAGTCGAATACATACAGATAATATCTACATTATTAATTATAACTCGTATATCGATAAACTGCGCCTCGTAAGACCCTTGACATTTCGCATCGAAATAGATTAAAAGAATTTAATATATTTATTGTTATCTTTACAACTCTCATCGTATAAGTCACCAGAACTGTATTACTAGATAAGATATTCAAAATGTGTTGTACATAAGAGCCCTGATAATGAAAATATCAGTTAGTTAGCGAAAATCGATACGGTTCCGATAGCACAGGTTAGTTCATGATCATTAGATACTCTAATGGAATGTTAATTACATAGACATACTTCTTAAGATTTTGTGTTTAGTAAAATACAAAGCACTATTTCATGATTTTGCAACTTTTTGTAAAATTGAACACACCCACAGTCGAACATCTTACGCTACTGGGACATGTCATTCATAAATAAATAAATAAACTTCTAAATGTCAGTGTTTTGGCTCTTATCCTTTGATAAATTAAAATAAAAATTCTGAACTGTAGATTTAACACGATATAATTTTTTTAAAAATGATTCATCTAATTTTCGTAAAAAAAATTCAATTAAAAGTAGTTATATGCAGATACGATTTTTTCAAATGCTGTCAACTTCTCCGAGAAAAGTTTAGATCTTACACTAATCCAAATAAAAAGCCAACTGTGCACCGAATTTGTAGCAAATTAAACAATAAATACGATTTTTTTTCGAATACGATAGTTGCCTGGTTCACTTTACGAACAATATTTTTCATACAAACCTTTACAGAAACCTTAGGTATAAATTCGGACAGACGTTTTTATATATGTACATACATATATAATAGAAGATTTCAAAAATATATATTATAGAAAATGTTGAAGTGAAATAAAACAATTGAGAAATCAGTGTTGTAACTTTAGATGCCTAAGTATATACAGTCTTGGCCAAAAGTATTAGGCACCACACTAATTACCAATTTTTTTGTTTTAACAAGTGAAGAAATGTAGTTTTATTAGTGAAAATACAATGAATTAGCGATAATAACATTAATATTTAGTAGGTCCACCCTTCGATTTAATAACGGGAGCAATTCTCATAGGCATGCTGCGCACAAGCTTTGCACATTCCACCGTACTTACATCGTCCCACTCGTTAATTAAGGCATTATTTAAGGCAGTTTTTAATGTTATACTGTGTTCCTTGATCTCGCGTTTTAAAATAGCCCACATGTGCTCATTGGGATTAAGATCTGCAGACTGTGCAGGCCAATCTAACAAAACAATGTTGTTATCTCTAGACCAACGCATCGTAGTCGCTGATTTGTGACAGTGAGCATTGTCTTGCTGAAATTGAATCCCGTTTAAATTAGTATCGTCGAAAATGCGCGTTAACGAAGGCAGAAGAATAGCTTCCAATACAATTATGTACTTTTGACTGTTGACGCCATCAGCAGCCATGCAACCCCAGATCATAATGCTGCCTCCCCCATGCTTAACAGCGGGTACCACCCAGTGTGGCTGACATTCTTCCCCAACCCGTCACCTCACGAAGGTCACACCAGGTGTTCCAAATATCTGTAGAAAAGAAAAAAATAATGTTTTCATAAGATTTGTATTATGTCTTCAAAATTGCTCTAGGGTAAGAAGCTATGGCTGTTAATACTTTAAGACGATCTTAACTAAGTTTACATCGAAGTTGGATTCATCAGAACACAGAACATTCTTCTTCCGTGAAGTGTTGGTATCGGCGCGTCCATTCCAAACGATTTTTCCTTTTCTTTTCTGATAGCCACGCCTTCGTTTGGGCCTCACATCCCTTCAAACCTGCTTCCAGAAGTCTTCTTCTAGCTGTTCGAGCACTAACTGGTTTACCAAATTCATCCGAAATGGCAGCTGCAAGGGCAGAAGAAGATTTTTTTGCGATCCTTGAGAGACTCGCGTGTAAGTATTCGGTCTTCTCGCTTACTGGTAAGACGCTTTCTTCCACTTTTTGTTTTATTATTATGGGGTTTCGTCTCCACAAATCGCCTAATAGCACATTGAACCCATCAAAGTGACAATTTCAACCTGTTACTTATCTTCTTCACTTAGAACTTGAATTCTAACTCTATCATTGTAACTAATTTCACTTTTATTAGGTTTTTCGGTAAATATGAACTGTTTTTATTAGATTGGTTACTTTAAACTAACTGTAATTTACACTTTCAATTTCAAATTTTAAATGCGAAAATATTTTATGAATTTTTTAATAATGACAAGTTTTAGGTTTAGCTTACCCAGAGTGCTATGACTTTTAATATTACACAATTTATACGTTTAATCTACAGTTAATCACCCATGTAAGACATTAACAAAAAGCAGTGGTAACTTTGATATCCACATTTGAGAATACTTGTATTTTAGTGGGGTGCCTAATACTTTTGGCCAAGGCTGTATACACGTATGTGTGTAAATATGAGGCAAAAATGACGAATGCATGCTTTTCAAGAATATTAAAATCAAAATCAAAATTTTTATATGTGTTCGTACTATTAATATTCTTTATTATGTATGCTGTATGTATATTAATACTATTGTATTAAACTGTGATAGAAATCGACGATAGTCCATTATAAAGTGGTCTACTTTGGGAACAAAATTTAATAAAACTCGTACTTATAACATTTAAAAATTTTTGAAAATTGTAGAAATTAATAGCTGATATAAAAATTTTGACTTTTTTCATTTTTGTAAACTATCTCGGTCTGTAGTTGAAGATTCCAGAAGAGCTCTGTGTGGGCTGCGTTATAAAATCACCAAAATTTTTAAGAGCTTTTAGTAAGAAAATTAGTCAAAAAATTTAAAGTTAATTTTAACAATTATTTAATAACGAAAATAATCCTTTTTTTTTTGGAAATTTAGAATTTTACATTACGCTTGATAGTTTAATTTTTTCTTCGAGAGAACCTCGTACTCTGATAAAAGTAAACAACCTTTCATTACAAACTTCGTATTTAAATTTTTTGCAGAGATTTGTCTAAAATGGAGGATGGCATAGCTGAAAAGGTTGTTATGTTTGTGCATTATATTGTGGCCTTCATTGGTTCATTAGTTTTAGCCTTTATAAAAGGTTGGCAGCTATCTTTGGTATGTCTAACCAGTCTACCGGTAACATTAATATCCCTGAGTCTAGTGACTGTGGTAAGTAATTCTGCTAATATGGACTCGTATATGCATACATACAAAGTTTTTTTTTTTTTTGCTTTGCCAACAGGCCACCTCAAAATTATCGAAAAAGGAGTTAAACGTTTATGCTGTGGCTGGCAACATTGCCGAGGAGGCATTGAGTGGTATACGTACGGTGAAAACGTTTGAGGGCGAATATAAGGAGGTGCATGCCTATAAGACACAAATTGTTGATGCGCGTAAAATTAATATTAAACGTAATATGTTTTCGGGTTTGGGCTTCGGTTTGCTTTGGTTCTTCATTTACGCCTCATACGCTTTGGCCTTCTGGTATGGCGTTGGTTTAGTCTTGAAAAATTATGCCGGTGAGGCTGCCTACTCAAATTATGATCCTGGTACTATGATAACGGTAAGGGAATTGTTTATAAATAATATACTCATATATGATATGTATGGTATATATATATATATATGAAAAATAATATGTATTACTTTTACTCCAGGTATTTTTTTCCGTCATGATGGGCTCTATGAATATGGGTATGGCCTCGCCATATATCGAAGCGTTTGGTACTGCTAAAGGTGCTTGCGCTAAAGTATTTAAGCTTATCGAACAAGTCCCAACAATAAATCCCATCGAACCGAGGGGTAATAATTTGAATCAACCACTGGTACATATAGAACTACGTAACGTTAGTTTCACATATCCTTCACGTAAAGAAGTGCAAATCCTTAATAAGCTAAATTTAACAATACATCGCGGTCAAACAATAGCTTTGGTCGGCTCATCAGGTTGCGGCAAATCTACGATTATACAGCTTGTACAACGTTTCTACGATCCTCAAGAGGGCAGTGTCTACTTTAACGATGTCGATTTAAAGGATATAAATATCACACGGTTGCGCGAGCGTATAGGTGTGGTCGGACAGGAACCGGTTCTATTCGGTACGACCATTTATGAGAATATACGTTATGGCAGAGAAGATGCAACCAGAGAGATGATCATAGCAGCTGCGACAGCGGCAAACGCGCACATTTTCATAAATAAGTTGCCAAATGTGAGTTAATATTTGAATTAGTTTGTTTGTTTAATTGAGGTTTAATGGAATTTGTGCTTTCAGGGTCTTGATACTTTAGTCGGTGAACGAGGCGCACAATTGTCGGGTGGACAAAAACAAAGAATCGCCATTGCACGTGCTTTAGTTAGGGATCCGGAGATTTTGTTACTAGACGAAGCAACATCGGCATTGGACACCGCTAGCGAAGCCAAAGTGCAAGCGGCTCTTGAAAAGGTAGATACACCAAAATGAAATCACCCAATAGGTTATAAGCCTATTACGTGAATGCGCTACTTCATTAAGATCTAGTCCACATGTGTTTTCCGTTAAGCGTCTGCTACACAACTGTAATTCAATTCCATCTCACTCTCTCTCTCTCTCTCTCTCTCTGTCGCACGTTTATTTTCAGGCAAGTAAGGGACGTACAACAATCATTGTCGCTCATCGTTTATCGACAATACGACGCGCTGATCGTATTATAGTGATTGATAAAGGTGAAGTAGTCGAGAGCGGTACACATTTTGAGTTGATGGACCTTAAGTCACACTATTATAATTTGGTTACAACGCAATTGGGCGATGAGCCATTGACTGCCGGTGTAGATAATGCTAACAAAACAGAGGATTTCCTGAACAAAAAGGACGAGGATGAAGAATTAATTGATATTAAAAATGAAGAGATTGCTTTGATTGAAGAAGATACCGAAGATCCATCACTTTGGCCAATTCTGAAGATGAATAAACCCGAATGGCCGCATTTAGTGAGCGGTATTATTTCCTCAGTGATAATGGGCTGTGCAATGCCGATATTTGCTGTGTTATTCGGTGAAATTCTTGAAGTTTTGGCGGTTAGAGATGATCCAGATTATGTACGCGAAAATTCAAATAAATATAGTTTATATTTCTTGATAACTGGTATTATTGTGGGCATTGCAACATTCATACAGGTAATTAATAATTTATTTTGAGTATCATTTTGTGTTGAAAAATTACTAACATATTGGCTAAATACGATTTTCAAAAATAGATCTTTTGCTTTGGCATTGCTGGTGAGCGACTAACTGAACGTCTCAGGGGTTTAATGTTTGAGACGATTCTAAAGCAAGAAGTCGCTTGGTTTGATGACAAATCCAACAGTACGGGCAGTCTTTGTGCGAAACTTTCAGGTGATGCATCTGCAGTTCAGGGTGTAAGTATAAATCGGATTCGCTTTAGACTTATTAGTTACGGATTACTCTCATGAATAGAAAAAAGGGCACAATCGACTTTGTGAAGTCTCTGTATCGTAAGACGAGCTCCGGTTTACCGGTTTGATCTTCACAAGACAAAGATCCAAAGTCCGTCTTCGAAACTGCTTTAAGGGTAGTTGTGTAGATTCTCGCAAGGTAATAATTCCTCTCTGCCTCTAAATACCTTAATACGTTCATAGAGGAGGGAAGTGTTACCTCATCTACTCGAGCGTAAGCTTAATTGACGTTTGCGGGTGATTTTTTATACACATTGCCCATCTGGGGATAGTTAGTTCTCGCCATTGTTGCGTGTGCGTTAAATTATTACGATATCTCTCGAAATTCAGTAGCGAAAAAACGAAACCTCATTGAAAACATCCAATGCAATGCGGTCGCCGCTCGGTAGGGAATGTCAAACCCTCCGAGTGAAATGAAGGCACCTCATAAAAAACCATCAGCCGTTCGGAGGCGGCTTAATATAAACTTTAGGTTCTTCCATTTGTGGGAAAAACATCAAGACGCAAAACTGCAATTGAAGGAGGAGAAGGAAGAGCCGAAAATCGCATCAAAGCGCCAAATATATATATAATAATTGAAAATATTGTCTATTAGGGGTATCTCGGGTTCAATTCGCCTCGTGGTACATGCAAATTCGCTCCATGATATTTCATCTGAGAAGTTCTAAAGAATATCTTAGAGTGGCTGACATTAATAAAGCAGCGATCTCACTGCTTCAGAGCACAGGAAATGGTCGAGAATGGTCAACGAAGGCTTGCCGGCTCTTGAAGGAATCGCAAAGTATTCTGTTATTATCGTAGAGTGCACCAAAAGGTCTGGTCTCAGGACTTGCACCTCTATTTGCTATATTGTGTTGCAAGTTTTTTTTGCTCTAATCGTGTTTTGTATTTCGAAAGGTTGGGAGCCACATTATATGAAGGATTTTTAAATTTATAAGTACAGGCAAATTTCATAAACGTCGATGCATTAGTTCTCTCTCTCTCTGAAGAGGTCCGCAATTTTTAGGATGTTTTCTTCTACCACCAAAAATTTAATACAGGCTGATGAGTAAAAAATGTACTTTCTTACAGGCGACTGGTCAACGTATCGGTACCATTTTTCAATCCTTGGCCACTCTTTTACTAGGTATAGGCTTATCCATGTATTATGAATGGAGTTTAGGTCTTTTGGCCTTGGCGTTTGCACCATTTTTATTGTTGGCAGCTTATTTGCAGCGCAAAGTAATGAGTAAAGAAAATATGGGCACTGCCAAAAGTATGGAGAGTTGCACAAAGGTATGTAGTGAGGTGTATGTAATTTCTTTGTTTCCAAAATTTATTATTAATTTCATTTAACACTTTCTTAATGAAGCTCACTGTTGAAGTCGTCTCGAATATACGCACGGTTGCATCTTTGGGCCGTGAAGAGATGTTCTACAATCAATACATGGATATGCTTAATCCCGCAATTGCGGTATGTTTTTTGTTGGAAATCGAAATAATTTGCAAATCTATTAAGCAGCGTTTACTTGTTTTACTTACAGCAAGCCAAGCGAAATACACATTTCCGTGGCTTTATCTATGGTTTGGCTAGATCTCTCATGTTTTTCGCTTATGCTGCCTGTATGTATTATGGCGGTTGGTGTGTGGTAAACCGAGGCATGCAATTTGGTAATGTTTTCAAGTAAGTAACTATCGTGTTGATGATTTAAAGAAAGCCTAAAATACAAAATTTAATTCATCCATTTTTTTTTTGTTTTTGTTTTTTTGTTTTTATCAGAGTATCACAAGCCTTAATTATGGGTACCACCTCGATTGCAAACGCTTTGGCTTTTGCGCCGAATTTCCAGAAGGGCATAACTGCGGCAAAGAAAATATTTTCACTATTAAGTCGTGAGCCGAAAATCTTAGACAAACCGGGTGTTTCACTTGTACCATGGACGGCAGAAGGCAAAGTCGATTTTACCGATGTCAAATTCAGTTATCCCACACGTGCTGCGATACCAGTACTTAGGAGTATAGTACTGAATGTCAAGAAAGGTCAAAAGGTTGCTTTAGTCGGTTCGTCGGGTTGTGGCAAGTCTACATGTATACAGCTACTCCAACGCTTCTATGATGTTGACGGCGGGTCGGTATCTATCGATGATATTGATTTGCGTAAACTATCACTTTCGAATTTACGCCGCCAATTGGGTATTGTTTCACAAGAGCCCATTCTATTCGATCGATCCATTAAGGAGAATATTGCTTATGGTGACAATAAGCGACAAGTGTCCGAGCAGGAAATATTCGCAGCAGCTAAGAAGGCGAACGTACACAATTTTGTGGCATCATTGCCATTGGTAAGTTTTACAATGGAAAAATGTCCAGCTGTTTTGTTTGCTACTATGACGTATGACGTAAGCAAAACAGCTGTTATTGTCAAATTCATAATTAAATCAAATTTCAAATTAAATTACTTATTCCCTTCACTTCGTCTCTCCCTAGGGCTATGAGACACGTATGGGCGAAAAGGGCACACAATTGTCGGGTGGTCAAAAGCAGCGTATCGCCATTGCGCGCGCTATGGTTAGAAATCCGAAGATCCTGCTGCTTGATGAAGCCACGTCAGCGCTTGACGCTGAGAGTGAAAAGGTGTGTATTTATAAAATTTTCACATTGTTTTTTTTTTAACTTTTTTCATACTTTATATTATATTTCATCAAAAATATGTTTAGGTTGTGCAAGAGGCATTGGATGCGGCTAGTGAAGGACGTACGACGATTAGCATCGCCCATCGATTATCCACCATTATCGATTCCGATGTGATATTTGTACTCGACAATGGTCAAGTAGCAGAGTTAGGTACACATAAAGAGCTTCTCAAATTGCGTGGCATCTATCATACGCTGTGGAGATTGCAAACGGGGGATTAACGCTTACAACACTAAGACTTTGGCACTAATTAAAAATGTTATCTTATAAGCATACGCTGATATATATATATACTATATTTGTAAATATGTACAATCTATAATTTAAATTTATAAAATGTATTTGAATGCGAATTTTAAAAATACGTCTAAAGAAGACTTCACAAAGTTTTGAAAGTCTAATGTATGCCTTTTTATATAAAGTATTTTTTTGTTTAGGTTAAATAATTTATTAACTTATTTCAAAATAAATTATTCAAATTCGAAAATCGAAATTTTGTAACCTTTTTGTGTAAGCAACGGTAGGAAAAGTATCCGATTACTGACTCCAGATTCCTACGGAGCCACTCTGATCTAGTATGTCTATTTTAAGGGGCCGTACGCAGTTGCAAGGTTCCCAAAAAGAGATGTTTTTAGAAATTTTTTATATGTATAAATATGTTGTTTCTGGCAACTACAAGCGGCCACAATTCAAGTGGAGTCTACTTTTAAACATGCAATAACACGTCGATCAGGTAAAAATAAATAATAATGACCCGTACGAGCTCAAAAAAGGCGGTCGGTGATCTCTATTTTAGCGGTTTGGATTGTCAGAGTTGAGTTGACGCGGTTGCTGATTATAGCCTGAAGGCCTGTTGGCATATCGATGTGGAGTATTTGTCATCTTCTCAGTTATGCGAACCATTTCGTGCGCCCTATTTACGATGCTACTCCACTTATACCAGCCGTTGCTACGTCAGACAAGCAGTCAAAGAAGTGATTTCCCATGTATTTATGTCGTGTGATGCTTAGGGCTAAGGGTCCTTCTTCGCCCCTGCAGCTGCGACTAAAATCATTGGAACAGTATCTCATTCTCCTACCGTGGATTTATATTAAACAGTGTTCAGATAGTATGCCCATTGTCGAATTAATGGTGAACCGGTTTAGGCCAATCAGATCCTTTGATCTTTTAACTTGCAGCACAGGTTGCTGGTTCCTTCGCTGAGTCATATGGTGAAAGTTTGAGCTACGCCCACGACGTGTGTATAATTTTTTGTATATAGTTCGTGTGGTATCTACTCTCGTTAGCTTATCCGCCATACAGTTACCTGGGGTGTTTCTATTTCGGCACATCTAGACTGTATTGCATCTTGCTGAGAGCTTGTTGAAAGTGTTTCTGCATTTCAGTGCCAGTTTTGATGTGTTGTAATTAAATTAGTGGGATCTGACGACAGTTTGGCTATTCGATTATATACTAATTGCTAGGTTTGTAACCAGGGATCCTAGCAATCCTTCTACGGCTTCCGTGATTGCATTAAGTTCTGCTTAGAGCCATCTATGAAAATTTATTTGGAGCATAGGAATTTTCAAATTCATTCTTTTCCGGGTTTGTTGTGAAAAACGGATTGTTGACAGTAGATCAAGATAGCGTAGTCTAACACTTCTGGAAACTGCGCGACAAGGCTGAGTCTGAGCCGCGTTCAATCTAATAACATTGCAACTCACTTGAAGTTTGTCATACAAATCCAGGAGAAGGAAATTAAGAAGAGTTTTCTGTAATAACTTTTTACCGTATTTAGGACCAAGTTAAGCTTTTTATCAAAGATTATCCCGATATATGTGACTGAGGTAGAGAGAGTGATTTCTATATCTTTAACTAAGGGATTTAAAAGGAAGTGGTTTATATCTCCTTGTGGATTTTCTCTAGATTGTCATCTAGCCCATATTCCCCCAACTGCCACTATTTTTGGGGTAAATCACTTAAGACTTGCGGGGGCTTGCCTGTCGCTGTTAGGGCAATACCATCGACTTATGCTACCACGCCACAACCTGTGCTATCTAGTTGTCGAATCAGTGCGTTCACTGCGAGGAAACATAGCAGTGGTATATCCTGTGATACCGACATTGCCCATCTCAGTGGAGAGATTCTACGAGCTTTACAACTGGCTGTGGATTATCAAAAACTAAAAACAAAAGATGGGCAACCGCGGTAGCCGACTGGTTAGCATTGCATACTGGCATTCGGTAGGCTCGGGTTCATATCCCGATGCCACCAACATCCAAGAGTTATGGAAAATTAATTTAAATAAAATACTAAGCTCAATTTTGTAATTGCGGTTGCCCCTCGGCAGGGAATGTCCATCCCTCCGAGTGTATTTCTGACATAAAATTAAGCTGCTCAAAAAAAACCCATCAGCGGTTCGGAGACGGCTTAGTATAAACTGTAGGTCCCTGCATTTCTTGGAAAAACATCAAGACACAAAAACCACAAATTGAAGGAGAAGCTCGGCTTAAAAATCACTTCAGCGGTTACAAAGCGCCAAACAAAAGATGACTCCATCTGCAAGTTGTGGCCGTTGTTGGAAGCGATTACCTATTTCATTGGAAAATTTTGACATTTGTACATTTTACTTATTTCACACTTCCTCCAAAAGGAAACAATTTGAGTTCGGCGTGACCAAAAGAAAAGCTGGTACGGTGAGGGCGCGGAGAGGGGTTGACATACCTGAGAAAGAGTAGCTAGAACATACCACGAAAGCATGCCTTGACTTCCTGAGCTCATTTACTGGTGAAAGAGAGGTGATATTAGCTCTTTTCAGTGAGAAATGCCACTAAGAATACGCCATTATTGAAATGTCAAAATTGCGGTCTCGCGGTGCAGATTCGACTGAGTTACCCCAAAATGATTTAAAAATTGTGCTTGGTGACTTCATCGCCAGGTTGGGCAAGATATCTTCTTTGTCGGAAAACTCAGCTTTTATGATGAAACATATCCAAATGAATTAAAACTAATTCGTACATCGTCACATTCCGGTGGAAGAAAATTCATCCAGCTAAATGGCTGGATCGAGAAACTCGAAATCAGATTGCTCATGTTGTGATAGATGGAATACATGCGTCCAGTGCTCTGCTCCTGGAACTTTACATTGACTCGAACCAATGTGTTACAGGAGAAAATCTATAAGCACCCGCCTCTGTGCATCAAAGAACGCCCGCCAAAAAACAAAACGAAGGTTCGACGTGGAAAATCTGCGCATGCGTGGCGCCAAGAAGAGTAAGCAGAGGCACAGTCAAATGTGTTTTATCTAATTGTTTCGTGACGGAATTAATTTTGTACAGGAATTTCTCTTGAAGTTTAGCAACGGGACGGGGATTGGTCGAGGTGGATAACTTGATTCTTCCCATAAATTTAAAGAGTCACGTATGTATATTATAACAAAAGATAGTAGCAACATCTCTAGGTATGTTGTTGTTGTTGTTGTTGTTGTCGTAACCGCCAAAGTATTTTGGAGAATGTTGCGGGAATGACAGTCCTTGGCCGGATAAAAATTCCGGATCATTCCGGTATAAAAACCCGACTGTCGCGGAAACTATTGGATTTTAGTCGCCTCTTACGACGGGCATGCCTTACCGCGGGTAAATTCTTGAGTCCCTAACCTGCAGAGGGTATCTCTAGGCATAATGGCTGCTGCTCACGGTTGCGCTCATAAACACTAATGTTGTGTTGAGAGAATGAAAAACAGTTTTGTATGATTTTTTCCGACCTTACACTGATCAACATTTATAAAAACATATGTATGTATGTACATTTAGAATATTTTACAAAAGGTTGTAACTTTCTTTAAGGCTATGGAATTGTTTGAATATTTAATTTTATACTAATAATATTATTTTATAAACACATGTGTATGTACGAGGGGATTAACAAAAGTTCGGTCAGTTGGTGACTTTCAATTTGTTTTTGTTAAATCTAAAGATACAAAATCCTTTGCAATTACTTTATTAGTCTTCCTTTCAAATTTCAGAATGATCAGCTATAATGGAGACAAGAAAACCCAAGATAGCTGAGGATAAGTCAGACGAAATTCCACCAACAACTCGAACAGAAATTCGACATGTGATTTCCTTCGCGCCAAATTGCATCGTTTTTAAAGACTAGTTTCAGTCAACTCTTAAGACAGCCGGTTCTACAAATCAGAGTTGACCTGGATTTTATCGTTTCGGCGAACTAACCCCGTTTAGGTCAACCGGTAATAACATTAGGTTAACTATTTTCAGTGGTACCGAAGATTCCAGACCGGAAGTTTTTCCGTAGAGGACGAGGAACGAGCAGGTCGACCATAATCTTCCACTGATGACGTCATTGTAGCTCTGATCAAGTCCAAAATTGACGAAGAACCACGATTGACGCAATAAATGATTGCTAATGAATTGGGCTTGAATACCATGGCTGTATAGCGAATATTAAGTGATCATCTGGGATACACAACGAAATATGCTCGCTGCGTTCGATGAATTTTAAATGAGGCCCAAAAAAAGGCTCGAGTGCATTTCGCTCTATTCTTCCTAAACAAATTTGAAAATGGTCAGCAAGATTTTGAAGACTGTTTGCAGAAGTGGATCACGTAGAGAAGATAAAAAAGCACAAAGATTACCAATAAATACAAGAAGATTTTTTTTTTGTGGTAACCTTAGCGCACTTTCGTTAGTCCCCTCGTATGCACTTCAGTTTCGAATTTGAATACACGTCCATATGTGCGGTACAAGTTTCTCCACAAGACTACTATTCAAACTCTTTGGACAATTAACTTTCGCAAAGAACTCCATGCTATACAGACAAAACTGTAATGACATGCCGACTAGAATAAAAAGCCATAAAATCAAATTGCCGATTCGGCCGCGTAACGGTATGTACATAAGTATAAAACTAATAATACCAAAACAAATATAATTAATGGGTAAGAACAATTGTAGCGACATGCCGATGATGATTTCATGCATTACAGCGGAAATCGTGATAACTGTAAAAGAACAGAATAACCGATTGGAGTACACATAGTTGAAGCAATCCTTGTAGACATACTCGTACAACCAATCCTGCACCAAGCAATTCCACTTGATGAAGAACTCTCGACAATTGGTTGCTGTCCACCAATTTGTGTAGAACCGCCGATCGCTGAAGTGCATTAGCTCAGCAAAGAGATTTTGTATCGAATACAGTAACATGTAAATGAAGATTACCAAGCACATTGTCGAAGGTAAAATCATGCCATGAAAAGATTCTATGACATAGGACCATTGCAGCGGTGTAGCGCCAAACTGCCTATAATAAGGTCCAATAAACTGTTCATAGAAAAAAGTGCAGTAAAAGCAACAAAATAAAATTTCAAAAATACGCGCCCCCACAAAACTCCAACGTATTGGCGTAGAATTGCGCGGATACGAGGTGCGATATACCAAAACTGGTGCAAATAAAAAATAAATGTAATGAGATAGATCCGCCACATTTAAAGGAGCATTAGACGTAGGCGTTGGATCGGCTGTTCGGCCAATTGTTGAGCGTACGAATGCGTGCATTTTCATAATGAGACGTGTGCTTTCCATAAGTAGAGCCAGGCCACAGCCCAAACGGAACTGATAGTGTAGCGTGCAGAGTGCGCATAAGGAAAAAGTTAAGAACAGAGTTGTGATGCAGAGTGTTAGGAAGGCTGCATTTAAACATAAAGGGAAAGCGCCTGTGAATTATAAATGAATAAATAAATTTATTAACGTTTCTTTTTTGTTTATTTTCCAAAAACAAAAAAAAATTTACCTTTCACTCCAAAAGTGTGTGTCTTCGTCCATAAACAGACGCCGAAATAGACCAGCAGCGCCATGAAATGTAGCAGAAACCAACAGCCAAGTGCATATGGGAGACCTCTAAAGCCTGGCACAATCGTGCGCCAACCAAGATATATTCTGGAATCAAATACAGAAAAAGCTACACAAATATGCACTTACATATATACGAAAAGTGTTCAAAAAATATCGCGAATTTTGTGTTTTTTCAAAACTTATTTATTTATTCATGAATATCTATTTTGTCCCCTTCAAAGTAATCCCCATGAGATATTATACACTTCTGACAACGGTTTTTCCAATCTTCGAAGCACTTCAAAACATCATTTTTTTATATCTTGTTCAGCTCCTCCTTCGATGGCATCTTTATCTCGTCAATCGTAGCGTAACGTCGTCCTTTCATGGGCCTCTTCAGTTTAGGGAACAAGAAAAACTCACAGGGGGCCAGATCTGGGGAATACGGTGGCTGCGGCATTATTAGTGTGTTGTTTTTGGCCAAAAAGTCGCGCACAAGCAACGATGTGTGAACAGGGGAGTTATCGTGGTGCAAAAGCCAATTTATGTTCGTCCACAAAGCCGGGCGTTTCTGGCGGATTGCTTCGCGCAAATTGCGCATAACTTGCAGGTAATATTCCTTATTGACCGTTCTACCCTGTGGCAAGAACTCATGATGCACCACGCCCCTGCAATTAATTTTTTGGTCTGTTGTTGAAATGCTCGGGCGTCCTGCACGCTCTTCGTCGTTCACCACTTCTCGGCCTTCTGAGAACATTTTGTACCACCGATAAACGTTGCTTCGGACCAATGTAGCTTCTCCGTATGCCACAGTCAACATTCGGAATGCATCCGCGCACTTATTTCCGTTTTTCACACAAAATTTGATACAGGTTCTTTGATCCATTTTTTTGAGTGTATAAAAATCGAAGACCATCCAAAACACGTGCAAGCAAAGCAGCTGTCAACAATTTAGTGAACATTCAAAATGGCCGAGCTTGTCGGCATAAGTGACAGACATGAGCATCAACATAACGCCACAAAAAAATCGAAATTCGATTATACGTAACCCGCGAAAATTCAAAATTCGCGTTAATTTTTGAGCACACCTCGTGTTTAGAATATGGCACAACCTTTTGATTTGAAGATAAGGAAAGGAGACTTTAATGGAAATATATTCATGAATTGGAGAAATCAAAGCCAGCGGCAATAGTGATGAGAATTTAATCTTAGATCTATTGTATTGACAGTATAACTTTGCAGGGCTTTAGATGTATTCTTTACTGGCGTAAGTACCACGTGTTTATACCCGAGTCAACAAAACAGAGTGATAGTCGTTTATTCCCCTTTGGTGCCTCGATCTCTGTTTCTACCGGCAGGTACTGCATCGAATACTTTCAAAGCTCGATAGAGTGTTCTCATCCAACTGGACAACACAACTATCTAGCACTGAAATATCCAAATGCCACTGCGGTACTTCCCTTGCCTTTAACAAGAAGGTAGACCATAAATCTTTCGCAAATTATGAAGGATATGTAGACTTTGGTTTTTGTTTCTCAAGAGAGGACTTTACTTTTCTATTGCCTACTCAGTTCAACGTCCTACCTGTTGCCAAGAGTTGGTTTGCGTTGAATTGTGTGACCCAAATTGTTGTTGGTGTTAGCGGTATTTCCAAGATGGACGAAATTATCTACAAACCCATATGTTTTGCTGCCTTATGACAAAAAGCCAACTTTGGCTGCGTACGTCGGCAGTCTCACGCTCTTATAAATGATGGTACCTTCCCTTTTTAGGCTTACTTTACTTATATATTCGTATAAATAATTGGCGGTTTGTAACTGCAGGGGCGGTCTAGGGTCGAGCTCCTCCTCCAATTTGTGGTTTTTGCATTTTGATGTTTTTCCAACAAATGCAGTTTGTACTAAGGCGCCCCCGAACGGCTGATGGTTTTTTACGAGGAGCCATTATTGCATGTCCGAAATACACTCGGAGGGGTGGACATTCTCTGCCGAGGGGCGAGGCAATTAGAACATTTAACTTAATTTATTATATAAATTAATTTTCTATAACTTTTTGGATGTTAGTACGGTACCAGGATTTGAACCCGAGCCTTCCGAATGGCAGTACGTAATGCTAAAACCCATTTACTCCGGCCTTAAGTTAAATAAGTCAGGCGATAAAGAGTCCCTTTGTCTGAAAAACCTTGTTCAGTACGTTCCTTAAGGTCCTTCCTGACCTTTCATCCGCTCCAACTCAGACAAAGCGGTACAGAAGCAGCCCTTTTGACAAACAGGTGGGGCGCTTCGTGCTTCTTTTCATGCATGGTTTTCAAGAGTTGACGCATGGCTGTACGATATTGCGAAAGTTTATCCTACGGCTTGACTCAGGCTATGGGGCTTCGTGCTTGTAAATTGGATAGAACATACTTAGGTTGAAATCGTCGGACACGTGTTACTGCGACCATATTCTGCAAAATAGCTGATGAAGCTTCTGATATCTTCGCTGCCGTTTTGGAATAACTCCATTTTACCCCGTCGCTTATCTGTTTTTCGAACAAGCAATTGTTATTCGAATTTCTTCTGGCCAACTGACCAGAGAAATTTTCCCTTCATAAGCTCAGTATGCTCTAGATATTTATTTCGGTGGTGGAAGGATATGCTTGTGGTAGTTCGTAAAGTTGGGTGGTAGACAGTCTTTTTTCCCTCCAATGTGGTACGGCAGCTCTTTTTTTAGACTCGTCGGAAACCATTGAAATTCCTTCTCACAGTTATCTAATACCAAGTTGCTGTTGAGTACTCACAGAGCGCGATAGATAACTGTTCAGTTTGTTGAAGAACCATCTTTGCTATAAAAAGGCGGTTCCGTATTTTTGCTGCTAAAAGGCAGCGGAGCAAGTCGATGTTAGGTCCACTGGAAACATTTCACGATCAATCTGTTTACAAGATTTTCGTTCTCAAGACAGTCAAGTATTTAGTAAATTTGTTTTCTTTTGTACTGGGATCTAATACTACAGACAAATATATTTTGGGCCACGGCGAAGTCGATCAGCCTCAACCCTTTTGAATACCATAAATAAACTTTTTAACAGTTGTGCCGAAAATATCTTCTTTGATTACTCTGCTGCTTAACACTTCGGCGATTGAATTTATATCCTTTCCCGGGGCCCGCATCAATTTTGCTTTTTTTATATGGCTTCTGCAGTACAAGTCACATCGACCTATTCGTTTCCGTCCTTTCAACGTCCATCGCGATTCTTGGACGGCGATGATGTGAGCATTTCGTTTTACGAGGATCGATGTCCTTTCCAATTGAGGGACCGTACATTCCAGGTATATATGATTAAATCATAGTACATAATATTTTTACAGTGGTCGTTATCAAAAGTGGAATATTTCTTCCGAGGCCATGCAAATTTTTCATTTGATTTCACATATATCTATGTAGCGAGCCGCTTGCTTTAAGACCAACGCCTGCTTAATTAACTTCCTGCCTTTTAGCCATATTCAGGTCTCCATACAGGTTGCAACCGCACCTTTGACGGTGTAATTAACTTTCGGCCTTTTAGCCATATTCAGGTCTTCACACCGATTGTTCACTCCTAGAAGGTGCGTATAGTCCTGCGACTGCTGCTGCTTACCCATAAACTTAACTGCACCCTACTACACCACCTACTTTTAAGTAACTAATATTATTCGAACTTCACTTAGTCTGCTTACTCTTTTACTGAAATTAAAAATTAAATTTACTCACTTTGCCTCAGTAAAATAATCGTGACATATTGTGTAGGTCAATAGGTAAAAGGCCGCAACAACGAATATATTATATAAAGTTTGTATGTGCACGTTCTGTAGAAGTTCAGTTAGATACGAATCTGCAGGTTTGAATATTTTTTCATGTAATATCGCGTTCTTTGACTCAATCGTCGTTGCCACGTTGTCATTTTCAATGGTGATCGTGTCATCGACTTCAGAATTTGACTTTTTACTATCTTCTTTAGTTTCTTCCTTTTTATTTGAACTCATACTTGTTTAAAAAGAAGAAAAATGAAAACAACTCCCCAAATTCGCAAAGTAGATAATAGAATAACTAAAGAAAGTTTCTTGCTTTATACTTCAATCGCTTAGATGTACTGAACTGTACTAATGCTTAAAAGCAATTTAAGTGAGATCATTGCAATTGTGGATAAAATTATTGCATTCATTATGAGTCGACAAAAATATACATATATACTCGTATATACATAATTACATTTTCAAGTATATATTTTCAAATAAAAAGTGCTTTCAAAAGCACAAGCATTACAATCAATTTGAAATATGAATATACATATATACTTATAAGCAATGTGAAATTAAACAAAATTAATTACAGTCAATTAAAAAACAAATAAAGTGGTAGGCATACATAAATAGCCTATAAACAACTAAAGATGTCCATAATATATATTTGATTCCCCTCAAGTAAAGCGATTAGCAAAGGGCAACAGTTAATTATTTTGCTCAGCATTTTATATCTTAATATCTACTTTAATATTATACAAGAAGATTTGCCTTAAAGTTAGTTTTCGTTTTACAATTATTAACACGCACAAAATGTTCCTAATATGAGAATATTTGCACTAATTTAGTAAACACTAATTTGTTTTCATCGTTTTTAATTTACTAGTTTCAAATGGTTGCATTGGTTGCGTTGCCAACCTAAGACATTTTCATATTTCCCTTTTGAAAGTGCAAGTTAATTTCCTGCCCTTATTGACCGGTAACAAAGTTTATTTTTCGAATTTCATTTCATTCAACTGCCTTTCTGGAACATCGGCGATTCACCGAATGATTTAAAATTTCTTTTTTCTCTTTGAATTGAATTTCCAAGCCGATGATGAATTAAAATTAATGCAAAAAAATACTTCATTTATAGAAGAAAAATTAAAAAGAAATATTTCGCAACAATATTTGCAAACAATTGACGAGAAATTGTCTTAGATCTTGTAGTTCGCTACACCTCTTTTAATTAAAATCTTCGTTGAATTATCTTGTGGGTGGGTAAGAATATATGCTTAACACCGACTAGAGAGAGAAAGGTTTTAATTTAGTTATTAAGACAGGAAGGTCGATAGTATCGTGTGGAACTTGAAGTATGTTGAGCTTAACGATAATCATTCGTGCTTTCATATTTATTTCATCCTTACTTCATAACCCGTTCAAAATTTTCACTTTGCAAATTTTCGTGGTTGCAAAATCATAGAATACTCGATTTTATACTTAGTCTTTATCCCAAAAATTAGAAATATTTAATACAAAGCACTTGTCCCTTAAGCCAACAAAGCAATTATGAAGTGTTTTGAAAGTTTTTCAGACCATGGCAATAGCGTGTAGTACGCAGATCAAATTACAGGGAGAGCAGCAGAGCAAACTCTGGAAAAATAATTGGTTTTCATAACCCACTAACTCTCTGCTCCACTCTTTTTTCTAGCGAACCACAATTGCAAAATCACATTTATCAAAAATTTCACGTTTATAGAAAGAAAGTCAAATAAAATTCCAGCAAACAAAACATTAACAAAAACTTTAATAAGCTGCCGCAGTCATTTTAGCTCATTATATTCGCCTTCGTAGATAAGCTTTTTACTTCCCGAATTTCTATCAATTCCGAAAAACACTTAGTTATCTACTAAAAAATTAACAAAACTAGCAAAACTTATAGAAAATATAAATTTTTTTTGCCATCAATTCTTATATTGTGAAACAATGATACAAATCATTTTGTTTCAGTTCGAAATGAAATATATATGTACATATACTCGTGAACTTGGAATTTTTTGTTGAAACATTGTAATTGGAACACAATTTTCTTAAAATATCTACCATCGCAAAATGCGCTATAAGGAATGTTTGTTGAAATAATGAAAGCAAGAAAACGAATTCTACTGACATGAATGGAAATTGTTAAGTTTCGATTTCAAATATTCATGAATTTAAAAATACTTGGTTTTACAAAATGTAATTTAAAATTAAAATATGAATATTTTTTGCCAGAATTTAAAATATTTATGTTATCTTTTGTACTTTATGATGTAAAAAATGGTCTGATTTTAAAGGTAAAAAATTCGGCATTGTATGGCATTGTATTATTGTAAATAAACCGAGGATTAATAAAAATATGTTGAGAGTTTCATTACCTCATTCATGATTATCCTCAATATAAAATTATTTTTAGACACCTCGTCGTTTTGTATTAAAAAATAAAACGTATTTAAAAAGACAGACTTTTTCCTCTAATTAATTCGTTTCGTTGATTTATATTGAGTTTTTATATAAATAAACTATGTTATTGGCTTAAGTAAAGACAAACCAGGAGCAACTCCGTACCCTGGCATCCCTACATCGTCGGCAATGTGTTTGGCAACGCTTTCATTTGTCAACTGTCATTCTGCCTTAGTGACGTGTATGTGAGTTTGGAAAAATTTCAAGAAAACTGTGTAATTCTATTTAGAATTTTTACCAGCGGCTTTATCAAAGCCAATGATAAAGTCATTAACAATTTCACATGTGTGAAAATTGTATTGTTGAAGTAATATAAAAGCTTTATCACATAATTTACATTACTTAAAGCCGTGGTGAATGAGACACTTCCTACTCGTGAACGTCATTTAATAGAAAAGCAAAGAAGAACATAAAATAAAAGGGTGCAAGGAGACGGTATACGACGGATTGGGCTCGACTTGCAGTGGTGGCTGTGTGGAAGAATAAGAAAAGTGTCAGGCGAGTTGACGGAAAATGAAGAAATAGAAAAGTGTACAACTATTGCAGATCGAAGGGCCGAAGGGGTTAAATTTTGTGGATTCGCGCTGTCTTAAATGCATACGTTACGACTGGCCGACGTTGGAAATCTGGTGCACACTTTTACGTGATTTTTTGGTTTATCTTTCTATTTTATTTTATCTACGAGTATTTTATATTTTGAAACTACTGCAGAAGATTAAGGGGTTTTTCGACAAAAAGTTAAGTTCGGTAAGCTGCTGGGAAAGAGGAAATTTAAAGCAATTGCACGGTTTTTGTAATAGATAGTGGTTGCGCTGTTGCTACCACAAATCAACAACAATGATGAATGAGGAAACAAGTAGTAGTACCCCTTCTAGTGGTGGTGTTAAGCTTTTCTTTGTACGCCTATCACAAGTGAGTCCTAAATACTGAAATTCTTGTACATGCACAAATCAATTGTTAATTATTGTTTCAAATAAATGAAATTTTGGTTCAGATGTACCAATCAACGCTGGATCGTTGGACACCTCATACTAGAATGCGTTGGGTAGGTGCGGCTGTGCTTGTACTGCTCTTCCTGCTACGCATCTTTATTAACCAAGGCTGGTATATAGTATGCTATGCGCTGGGAATATACCATTTAAATTTGTTTATTGCATTTCTAACACCGAAAATTGATCCAGAATTTGATCCCTACGATAATGATGGTAAGTTTATTAAGTTAAAGAATTAATATTTTTATATAATTTGCTTCGCAACTAAATATGCAATGACAAGTGGTATATAAGTAACTGAACTTGTCAAAAACTATTAAGTTTGTTATAACCATAGTAAAAATGTTGTGGTATGCACATAGAAAGATTGTGAGGTCGTCAAAGGGGATGTATTTAAAACAATCCGTATTTGATGTGTACGTTATTGATTTTTGCGCTGCCTACGTATGCATTAACAAGCCAATTGTTGATTTGTAAAGCAATTTGCTATTTAAATGGCATTCAGCTATATTAATTTAGGAATGCATACAAGTAGTAATGTATACATTACAATATATGTAGACTAAACGTTTGTGTATTTAAGTATATAAATGAATTGTTTTAATTTCGACGTCATTCATTTATTAATATTATTTCATTATTTTATTCAATATCTTTTTTCAAATAAATTTATTATTAGAAGATGGTCCCAATTTGCCAACACGAAGTAACGAGGAGTTCCGGCCGTTTATACGCCGCTTACCGGAATTCAAATTTTGGTTATCGATCACGAAAAGTACTTTAATAGGTCTGATTTGTACATTTTTCGACTTCTTCAATGTGCCCGTCTTCTGGCCAATACTTGTCATGTACTTCATTACACTCTTTTGCATAACAATGAAGCGACAAATTAAGGTAAGCTACATACATACTATATACAAACATGTGCACATATACATATACTTGTATATGTGGATGAATGAACACGTGAAAAGGCGTAGTTGTATGCAATATGGAATCTGATTGTTTTGTTTGTTTGCTTTCCTTATTTTTTTTGCAGCATATGATTAAGTACAAGTATCTGCCATTCACACGCAACAAGCCGCGCTATCAGCGTGTTGGTGAGTCACCGACAACGACAAAGTGACAATTAGCCGCACAGACACTGCAAAAAACAAGCGACAACCAATCGACAACGGGTATTACGTCGATACACGAGCAAAGAACAACAACAACAACAACAACTACAACAGCAACAGCAACTGTAGGAGCAGCAACAGCATATACAACGATTACCCCTGTGGCAACAACATCAACATCGTTAACGGCTGCGCCATTGGCAGCTGCGACTACACTAGCAACAACAACAAACGTAGCAAAACCACCGCAAATTATAACTATTGAGTAAATTCAACTATTGAGTACATAAACAACAGTAACAACAAACTACAACTACAACTACAAACACTTACACACACACACACACAGATACAGATACAAAGAAACATAAACAATTTGAAAAAGAAAAAAAAATCAAAATAACTACAAACACAACAGCTATCAGTATTTTACTACATTTTGTTTTTGTAAATTCTTTAATACAAAACTACACAGCAGCAGCAGCAGCAGGAGCAGCAGCAGCATCCTTAACCATTACGAAATAAACAATCTACATCTACACTTAACACAAACCTATACAACAAATACACACAAAACATTCTGATAAAATTATATATTTTGGATTACTTCAATCATTTACTAATTTGCGAGTGTCAATTTTTACATACGATTTTGTATTATTTCATTTGCTTGATTTACATACATACATACATCTGTATGCGTTGCTAGCATATTTGCTTAATTTTAAAAAATAATATTGTTGTTCTTAGCGGCATTAACGATTGAAAAACCAATTTTGCTTAACACTGAACCCTAGTGCTATCGATGGCTCAGTAATTAGTTGGATTTTAAATCGTTAGTGTTTTTTTTTTGATTGTCGTGCAGTGTCCTGTGCAAAAAATATTTAATGGCTTTGTCCTAACTTTGTCTTGTAACTAAGATTAATTTCCTTTAATGTTTATACATTAATTTGTTTTATTTTTTATGCAATATTAATTATGTCATTATTATTATTATTTTTTTTTTAGTTTAATTTGAGCGAGTCATTGGCCGTGGCATAGATTTGTCTTAGATCACTTTGAAAATGTAGCGATTATATTTAATTAGCGAGCAATAAAAACATTTAAAAAACGTTCAATGGAGTGCTGGTGTTATACAATAAAACATCCGCCTTGGTTAATATTATATTTGAATGCCTGTGTCATTTTGGATTCCTCATTTGGCGTGACTCTGGAAATAAATAATAGTCTTCGGTTATGTTTTTCTTTATACATACATACATACATACATATGACCTAATCAAACCGTAAAAGTAAATATATATTATATATATTATAATTACTATTAATTATGCTTAGTAATGTTATATGTGTATACCTTTATGAAATCGTTTTAAACGCAAAAACATAAAAATAAATTCTAACCTAGTATGCCAACCTTTTTAGAAAATTAAGTACATATGTACATGGATGCTATTAATTTAGATACCCATATGTATGTTGTGTATGTCTTTTGTAAGTAGTAGCAGCTAAACAGAATTATTCAAAATCTATTTAAAATTTTTTTCGAAACTCACATTGCATTGCACGAGATCATTTTGTCACATTCGTTTGTCTTGTACGAGCACTATTTTTAAATTGATTTGTAGTGGTATAAAAAATATTTAACATACATATGTACAAATAATATGTACAAGGTAATTTACTTTCAAATTAATTATTAAATATGATATGGCATTGTAATGATTTCCTTTAGACACCGTTTTTCATGTATTTAATTGTAGATTTTCCTTATTGCCATTTTTTCGCAATACAAACATACATACATATGTATATTTTTTCAAGTTCACAAAAAAAAGAGAAGAAGAGAAGAGGTTATGCGCTAATGTTGATGAATCGCTGGTTGTCAAATACCTATAATAATGAATTACAATAAAATGCCTACATACATACATACATACATACATGAATACATATATATACCTACATACAAACATACGAACCAACATAAGTGCATCTATGTGAGTTGCGAAGTTGAGAACGAAATCAGTGTACGATTGTAATAAGCAAAAACTAAATAAAAATACCAAATCATTTGAATAAAATACAAATAAAAAAATTTAAAATAATTAAAGAGGCGTAAGGATATGTTTTTTTTTGTTTTAAATAATTAAATTTTATTATTACAAGACATAACACAAAAAGCTAAATCGAAATTCTGCACTATGGTCAGCATCTATCTCCATACAGATTTTGAAAATTTAACCTTAAAACTCTGGATTCAACGCCTGCTCTAGTCTTCCTTCATAAACACCAATATAGTCAAGGGTCTTAACCAAAAACCGGAGTTGTCCTGCTGGCACTGGATTTGTCGAAAGCTTTTGACGCCGTCAACCATTCAGTGTTACTATCGGACATTGAGGAATCCTTATAATCGGCAGGGTTGAAGTAGTGGATCATATGGTACTTGAGTGTTTGTTGTTGTTGTTGTTTTTGTAGCGGCTACGTTAAGCCCGCTTAGGGACAGGTTTAAAATCAATCTAAGTCACCGAGGTCATCTAACGGGAGGTCGAGGAAACGTGCTGTTTAGACGGGATCGGACCAGAGGGAAAGGGGGATTAAATGTGTACCTGAGTGGTCGTCAATAATCGGTAGAATTTCGAGGTCAAACATCAAAACTAAGTAAGATTATACAAGGGGTTCCGCAGGGTCTATATTTCGAAGCCCCCTCCTCCACCAGAATTGGTTTCCTCGACCACATATGCCATTGACTGCTCGATATTGGCGTCTGGCCAGGATATTGATGAACTTTGTTCAAAAGTGAACGGCTATCTCGACGAGCTGTTCTACTATCTCACTGCATGACAACTCAAAACAACCGATCAAATCCTCGACTACCCCTTTTCACGAGATGGACATAGGAGTATAGGCACGAACTTGATGTGCAGACCGATGGCGTCAAAATTCCAACCATAAATTACCCAAAGTTACTGGAAGTCACATTTGACAGCCTGCACTGTTGTTGTTGTTGTTGTTGTTGTAACCGCAAAAATAATTCCCAGAAGTACTTTTTGGGGAATGTTGCGGGAGTGATAGTCCTTGGCCGGATAAAAATCCGGGTCGTTCCGGTATAAAGGCCCGACTGTCGCGGGAACTGTTGGACTTTAGTCGCCTCTTACGACAGGCATGCCTTACCGCGCGTAAATTCTTGAGCCCCTAATCCGCACGGGGCGACAGCCTGCACTCCCGCACTCCGCTTATGACCGCAAAACTTCAGAGCCGCAACAAAATACTCAAGACGGCAGCACCTGAGGTAAAGACAAATAAACTTTGCTGGCAATCTACAAAGCAGGCGTTAACTACGCTGCACCGATCTGGGCATCGGACACGAAGGAGACGCAGTTGATAAAGCTACAGGCTTGCCAAACGACCGCCCTCAGGACCGCGACAGGAAACCTCCTGTCACACTTTCACAGCGAAGCAACTCTGCTGTTGGTATGCTACCATAGGAAGGCACTTACTAGAATCAGAAAGGGAATACTCGATCTTAAGGACTGCATTCAGCACCACCTACAAAAACAGCTGAACAGAACGGCTTGGCGACATACATACATTAAACGCCATTTACCGAGAGTCTGTCAACACCGTCCTGAACTCTATTTTAGTAAATGACGTTCTTGTAGTCAAATCACCTCCAATTGCAGACGAAGAGCTCGAACTGACTGGATATTGTAGTAAACTCATCAAGTCAGACCGTTTCCAGTACCTCCCCTTAGATGATCTCGATGGCTAGACTAATCTAGCCTGCTCCTAAGCGGAGTTACACAACCGATACAACAACAATAACTACAACAGTTTCCCAGTGAGATCTTTTTCCTAATTATAATTCCGAATATCCGTTATCATAATGAAATTCGTTTGTCTGCACTCTGCACTCGACCACGACTGTTACGAAGGAGCAGGATTACAGAGCCGGACTAAAATTCCCAAGACAGTGGCCGACAGCATCTGTAACAAATGTAAACAAAAGTTTCTGGCAACTTGTAGGGCAATCGTCCGGCTGATTAAAAAATCGCGTTCCTTGCACCGATGTGGCAGTTGGCGACTAGAAAGATGCGGATCAACTCATCTAACCTCCCCTTTTCACTCTGGTCTGAACCCGTCGAAACAGATCGTTTCTCAATCACTTAGATTGATTTAGCCTGCTCCTAAGCTGCACACCGCTACAACAACAACAAAAAACAAGCGGATCACGAAGCTTTGGATCTATTAAAACAGCACCATGAGGAAGGTAACGGGAAATCTACCGATGCCTGTTTACAACAATACTTAACAGAAACAGCCTAGAGGATGAGAATATTATTGCCGACTCAAGGCTCATTTTAAATTAGCCTTTTGCTTTCACACAAAATCTCAGTAGATTCATATATTGATCAAAGGAGCAGTCACAGCTTCTATTGGTATAGACGACGTTGCACGAACCAAAGTTTTTTTGAGACCTCAAATTTCTGTGGGGTAATCGGCAGGCCATGTTCTCCAACTCTAGTCCCAAACTGGACTTCAAGGGTTGCCAATCTGTACTTCTAGACGGCCAGTCTTCTGAAGGTATGAAACCAGGAATATTACTTTTAAGCCACTGCTGGAGCAGAATCTTCTTAGAAGATCTAGTGCTCTCCCTCGAAGAGAGTTTTGCATAACTGCTTTACCACGCTTGCTAAAATATCCCGCACACTTTTGCGCCACTGGAAATGCTTAATACCTTTACGGTAGACTCCCCACCAAGCCACAGCAGCTGGATGGTGACCACGTTGAGGTTTTGGAATAACAATTCTGCAATCTTTGGAAGTTTTTGCGTTAATTTTGTCATTTTGCGTATTAAAAGCTTCTTCAACAGTGAACATTTTCTCTTTTGTAAAGAGGAATCTTTCATATTCGTTGATCGCTTGCCACTGAAGAGTTCGCTTGCATATGTTGAGATTTCCTTTGTTTCAATTGGTTGACGGAAGATGACCAGTTGAGCGTTGGCTTTCGGGTGGAGACTCTCGACAACTCTCAAGACAACCGGTTCTACGTACCGGAGTTGACCCGGATTTTATCCGGCAAAGAGTTTTCACCCTTTCGGCGAGCTAACTACGTTCCTTCAGGTGCGTGTTTTCGCTTGGAATCTTTGCGTTATATCTAGATTCGTCGCACAAGCTGTGCCCCAAAACTGCATTCCATACATCCATATCGGTTTTAGACGAGGTGAGTCCAGATTTTTTACTTAAAAGCCGATCAAAATTGGAGAATTTCAGCTTCAGGTGCGTCTTTCATTGCGGAAATATGTCATCCCCAAGGATACCCTCCTATCCAAGTGAATGCCAAGATATGTGATTTCGTTAGCTTCTGGGATGGACACTTTGAGGAGCTTAACGATAGGGCACATTTTTGTACAAGTTATGGGCTTGTGCCACTTTGCTAGCCTTCCATCAGTTAGTTTAAGGTGCTGATCTAACACTTTTACGGCTGTAATGGGCAAGCTTTCCAAAGAGATTTTTTTTAGTAGAAACGTTGGGAGGCAAAGACGATATAAAAAATTGCATATCCTCTTCTTACCTTAACGTCACTTTTAGCTTGTTTCTGTCAATCTTAAGTTGGATTTTTATATTGGGTAGCCATTCACGACTAACCATTCGTGGGCCTTATAAAAGCAACGAGGTTCCCAACTACCGCTGAGGCTATCTCAGTGAGACAGTCAAAGAAATGTTTTCCGAAGAACTTGTGTCACGCAGATGTCAAGGCTTGACGCTGAAAGAGGCAGTGTTCATTAGATTCCTCCATTTCTTCGTCCCTATAGCTGTGGCAAAAAATAGCTATCCCTAATGAAGCCCCATTGAACAGTGGCCTGTTATTATGCCGTTAATGTTGAACCGGAGGGATAAGATGTTTTGATTTTTTCGCGTCAAGCTTCGGCCTTAGCTGTCTCGTGATCTTACACCTGATCTTGAGTCTGCTTCTCTGGCAAAGGCCAGTTTAAAAATATACTTTGCCGTGGACAACGGTAAACCTGCATCGTATATATGTTTTATTGTTGGTAGGAGACTCCTTTCCCTCGCTAGTTTGTCTGCCATGTAATTGTCTGGGATGCCACTGTGTCCAGGTATCCAGACCACGATAGTACTACATTTAGTTGAGAATTTGCTAAGGTTGTCTACATTTCAAGGCTACCTTTGACGTCGTAATACTACATTGGAGAGTACTGATGGCAGCTTAATATATCGTAACTGATTGTACTGCTAACGTCGATTTGAGCAGCCGCTTACTTGATTGGCGGCTCTTCTGACTGCAAAGAGTTCCGCTTGAAAGAAGTTGCCGTGGTCTTGTTTTCTCACACTCATATTTAGAGAGAGCATCGGAGAGTAAACTACGCAGTCCAACCTACCGTTGAGCTTTTAACCGTCTGTACTGTAAAGGTTGGCGACGGCTCTCTCATCGAGGAAGTTGGTGCTTTCCCATTCATATCTGTTTGAGATGCTCATGGCGAAAAGCTTGCCGAAGCAAGTAACGGAGGTAGTATAGTCCAGCTTCTTCGGCACTTCTGATAGAGCTAATATTTTTGTATGACCCATACTGCAATCCTTCCAAGATTGAGTTGAATTCAATCTGATTTCGTTGCATTCCGCTTGTAATTTCCCGTATAGGTCTAGGGGAAGGATATTGAGAAGAGTTAGCAGTGCTTTTGAGGGAGTTGATAGCAGTGCTCCCGTTACCATGATAGCAGGCGACGGTTGCACTCTTTTGGTTATTCTACAACTCTGCCATCTCCTTCAAAGTAGTCCCCTTGGGCAGCTATGCAACGATTCCAGCGTGTTTTCCATGCTTCGTAACATTTCTGAAACGCTTCGACTGGGATGGCCGCGCGTACCCTCGTCACGGCCGCATGGATATCCTCAATCGACTCAAAATGGGTTCCTTAGACCATCGAATTTGCTCTAGGGAACAAAAAAAGTTACATGGTGACATATCGGGCGAATACGGTGGTTGTTTCAACTGGGGGATATCTTTAGAGTCTAAATACTGGCGCACACTGAGGGCGGTGTGGCACGGCGCGTTGTCGTGGTAAAGGATCCAGTTACGAGCGATGTCTAGGCGCTCCCTGTTGACTCGCTTTCGCAATCTTTCGAGTACTTGGCGATAGTAGACTTGATTTACGGTCTGCCCCAGAGGAAGAAACTCACCTGCAACTTGCTCATGCGAGCATATTTCGGGCGGGGGGCGTGCGGAGACAACCATTGTGAGTTTTAACGTTTGGTTTCTGGGTCGTATTGAAAAAAACCCGCTCTCATCGCTTATAATAATTCGATCAAACAGGTGAAAATTTTATCGCGACCCGTTGCTCTTAATTTCGTTTATCCATTTTCGTGACGAGCACCACGAACACTCGTTTACTCAACACGTCACAACAGGCGAACTAAACAAGGTAGAGTGATGGCAGATATATCAATGGAGAGCAGAAGGATGCCGGGAGAGGAGAAGGATGCAGGGAGAGGAGAAGGTTATAATCGGTCTCATTACTTAATTGTCATTCCTCAATCAAACCAAAAATCTTTTCAAACTCAATTTGAGTTGAGTTAGTGGCTGGTCGGAATCGCGGACTCGATAGCTCCTCGACTTTTTGTGAGTTGACAGTTTTTTTTCGATTTTTCTACGAAATTTGAATATCAAAATATTAGAAAAGAAAAATCGAGTTTAATTTCTACAGTGAAAAGTTTATTGAATATTATTCCTTAATATAACTATAGTCTGTTATTACATGGTTGCTATTAAAGTTTTAATACTAGTTCTTTGGATTGTGTTAACTAAGATTAATTATGGACTCTTACACCACATACTTAAATTATTTTGACATTAATTAAAATTATGAGTAAAACTTACGTAAGGACTTTCAAGTAATGCTGACATACATACATAACTTATGACTTTTATATTTATTTCAAAGTGTGTTGTTTATATATGTGTTTCAAATTAACTTAACAAATATGACTACGTGTATTTAACGGTTAAAGTTTAATAATTAAGAATACCTTCATATAAAATATACAAAAATTCGTCAAAAAATTGATGCAAACATAAATTTTCATCTTCAATTATGTGTCTAAAAATATGTATATATAGATATGTACATACGCTTTCATATATTTTGGATTAAAAAGAAATAAATAAATAAATAAATACAATTACAACATAGTTTAAGTAATTAAGACTACAAAAATTACATAAATTATATTTAAAATATATGAAAAAATTAAAATGAAAAAATTAAAATAAAATAAATTAAAATAAAAAATTAAAAATATTAAATGAAATTAGCTTAGAGTTAACACAAATAGCTTGAGAGTAAAACTATAAACGATGAAATTAGTGAGAGATGACTTCCAAGCGCGGTCCTTGTGGCCATACTTAGTGGCGCACTATCTATAAGCAATTGGAATGGACAGATGCTGGGCTCCTTAACGAAAGTCGTAAAGTTGGGATAACGAATAATCTCGGAGGGCTGTGAAAGAGATGAAATTATTTTCGTTAATTAACTGTTAAATTTAAATGTATCATATATAAGGCCAAGTAGCCGAGTGGTTGGCATTGCGTACGGCCATTCGTAAGGCTCGGTTTCAAACCTAAAGAAAATGAATTTAAATAAAAAATTAAGTTAAGTTTTCTTAACAGCCTTTCAAAGGCGACTTAGTATAAACTCTAGGTCCATTCACCAAGACACCAAGACGCAAAACCATACTAAGACGGCCGAAAGTCGCTTCAGCGGTAACAATTATTTTTGCAATAAACAGTTTTTATTAGACCGTATCTCGTGTGTGAGCGCAAGTCAAAAATGGACACCATTAAAGAGATAATACTATATATTCTACACTGCTTCTTTCATCGAATCTCAAGTCAAACTGAGAAAATGTGAATAGTGTTTCTGGTCCGAAAATCGTCAAGTCTGACCGCGAGAGTGTGAGTACTGTTTTGATTACAAAGGAACCAAACTTTGAAACGAATAACAGTTTGGAATGCTGAAAAACCTCATGAACTGTATTTCCATCTACGAAACGCTGCTCAATCATAAAAAATCGACCTATTTCTGATGCGGATGGTGACTGATGCTGAAAAGTGGATCACTTTTGGCAAAGTCAAAGGAAAATGGTAGTGGCTATAGGCGGCCAGGAAAGTTTTTTTGCGTGTTTGGTGAGATTGGCAAGGTATCATCCACTATGAGCTGTTCCCACACGAAGAATATCTTAATTCGGACCTACAAATGAAATGAAACCGGTCCGCTTGAATAAAGCAATGGAACCCAGAATCGACCAGCGATGGGTATTATACTGGATATACAAAGCGACAATAAGGTCTGGTGGCAAGCAATACAGCGGACGGCATCCATACGCATTACCAAAGCGCTGGCTTCAAATTTAACGAAAATCTTTCAAATTCTGCTTAATCTTCTGCCGGCACATATTTACGAAAAACGTCAAGGGAGATGTAATGCCATAGGATGAACTTAGTCTTGGTGAAACCATATATGACAAGACCAAATATTATACTCCACACTATTTTAGGAACTCAGTGGACTCAACCACTGCCGTCTTCTATTCTGACGACACTTTGTCAACGAAAAATCACGGTGAGGAAGGCATGGGGAAAATGTAACAGTAAAAAAGTACTTTGGGGAGTATTTTTTCGGTTACAACAACAACAATAACAACAATAAAAAATGTCCGAAATGTCCGAAATGCCTTCTTCCAGGGTTTTTTTCGCAATCATGTGAGAAAAGTCGTAAGAATTTTACAAAAATAAAAATCTACAACTTGCAGAGAATTCAATGCAATTTCCGATATCCATTTTCACTTTTCTGTGCATCGCTTAGTTTCGGAAATACGAATGAATGCTTTTCAGGCCTACATTAAATCACATTTTTTTTTGATATTTTCTCTTCACAATTTTTTTTTTTACATTTTCCCGGTATTTGTTGTTTCAAAAATTGCTTCAATTCAATACACAATAACTATGTACAGACCTCGAGCTTCACATTTTCATAAAACTTAATTTGCTCTTCATACTTACTATTGACACAGAAACATTCGACACCCGACAGAAGGTCATGTGCTTGCCCGTGATCATCGTCTGTTCGACGCGTTTCGTAAAAAGCGGCTCAGACCAAGGCAACTGCTTGAGATGCGATAAAAATGTGCGATCATGAAATTCGACGGGATCCGAAATTATTAGTTTATCTATGGGGAGAAATAAATGATTTATTTTTTGTTCTTATACATAAATATATATTTATTAGCATACAAAATCTTATTTAGTATAAAAAGTTTAAAAAAATTATTTATTGTTAGAAATCGAATTTTTAAATTGAATTAAAAAAAATGCTGAAATTGGTTTTAGAGATCAAGACTTCTTCTCAGCTGGCGTAAACCGGCTATCGAGTCACGGATTGCAGTTTGCAGACGAATAATCTAACTGCTCCATCAACATTAGAGCCACGCAAACTGTTGTTATAATCTTAAATTTTCCAAAAAGGGTGTTTTTTTTAGACGTGTGATTATCAATAAGGGAGGTCTTTTTTCGGAGTTGGTCTTTTCGATAGCTGTTACTTGATTTATACTCAGTTTGGTTTGCTATTCTATAAAGAAAATATTTACTCCCGAGCAGCTTTTGCAAAACGTGCAAATTTATTACCGAGCTGCGTCCAATATTTGGTCGTCAAAATCACCCAGTATCGTCGATAATTCAAGCAACCTTGGATCGATTTCGCATTGGATAATTCGCATTTTTAAAGACGACGAACAGTGCATATCGAAGAAGACCCGAATAAGTCCATCCCCACTCGGAGTTGTTCCCATCCACTTTATCGATGATTTTGCGGAAAGATTTTGGCTTGCGGGCTGACAAAATCCAACTCGTGCAAAAATTGAAGTCTATCAAGCACGTCGCGTGGTTACCGATCCGAAAGTTTTCTTCAACGATGAAGCTTACTTTCGTTTGGGGTGATGATAATTCACAAGCCATTATTGAGACGCCGTGGTATTCTACAAAAAGTCGCAGTTTGGTATGCTCCATTGAGAGAGGAAATAATTTTTTTTAATTGATGTTTTATAACCGCTGGAACGATTTTCGGCCGAGCTCCTCCTCCCATTTGTTGTTTTGCGTCTTTATGTTTTTCCAACACATGGAGGGACCTACAGTTTAGAATAAGCCGTCTCCGAACGGTTGATGGTTTTTATTTTTTATGTATGTCCGAAATACACTTGGAGGGGTTGACCGCAATTCGAAAATTTAACTTAATTTTTTATTTAAATTAATTTTCTATAATTTTTGTTCTTAGCCCGGGCTTTCCGAATGGTGGTACGCATTGCTAACCAATAGGCTACCGCGGCCGCAGAGAGGGAATCATTAGAGCAAACATGAGCTCATGCAGCGCTACTATACTTGCACACTTTATCAACTCATTTGAACTTACTCAATAACGACTCCTCATAGAGTCGCTCCTCATCGGTCATATTAGCGCGATTCTTCTTCGTTTTGGCATAAATCGTATTCGGTATATAGTCCAAGACATTGCTGAAACGAAACGTTTGGTAAACAATTTAATAAACAGCACAAAACTTTTCACATTAACAACTTCCGACGGCCAAATACGTACCCATTGTAGAGGAATAAATTCTCCACATCTGTCATGTTGAGCGAGTAGAATTGATAAACGCCAAATGTTTCGAAAAACTCCCGCACCGGTGTCATGCTATAACAGCCAGCCAACTCAATGCGCGGATAATAGGTGATAAAAGACAGACACATCTCCTGTTTGGTTGAATAACCACCGAAGGTCGGATGCTTGCGGCTCAATGTCTGTGTGAAGCAAATTAGCGGCAGTGTAAATTAACAATAAATTACAGACATACGAGTACATAGAATGGGCAAAGTTTGAATTTATACACTTAAATTGCACAATGTCGGTCAGCCGACTTACCTCATAAGCGCAGTCCGTGATAATGTAATCGCCCGGCAGGACGACGCGTTCGCGTTCCAACTGACGCACCTGTTGATAGTTGTAATCATAATTATCATCCTCAATAATGCGCTCCAACTCCTTGCCGTCGCGTACATGCCGCAGTGTCATTTTGCGGCCAGCGTGATGCGAGTGTAAGGTGCCGGAGATGATTTTAATACCGTCCGCTGGAAACATCTGATGGACGGCGTGGAGAGATAAATAAATTAATATAATATAAGCAACATTTTGAGGAGTAAAAAAAAAATGTCCATGAACTTACCACATTTGAGCAAGATGGTCCACAGATGCCAATATTACGATACAGTTTCTGACCGGGCGGTATGAGTTGGGTGTCGGAAACTGAGACACCGGATATCATTATGCCGGCATCGTTGGGACGCAAACGATTCGTGTAATGTATACGGAAGCCCGAATGATCGACCACTGTAAGGGGAGAAATGAATACGTGTATATGTGTGTATGTAAGTGAAATTTGCAGCATTTAAAAGGCTCGTCAGCTTCACTCACTAAATTAACTTACTTTGCTGTGCGTGCGGATTGTCGTAGTGTATTTCGAGCATATAATATTTAGCGCCTTGTTTGCCACCCACCGGTACGCCCACATGTTGCGGCAGGAATTGTCCTGTGAAGTGCGGTTAAAAAAAGTGTAAATATGTATACATACATATAAGTATGTACGCGTATGTGTGCTTAACAAAGTGGATTATAAATATAAAAATTCTTGACATTGCAGTACAAATTAATTTGCATGCGATTATTTCATGTGAAAAATTCTATAAACATATATACATACATATGAGTGAATATGTATATATAGGGTTATGCATTTCGTGGTTTCAAAAGTGTTTTGTCTTAGTTAAAAGTCAGGCATTGATGAAAATGGATCGCCCAACAATCGTGCAACTCGTTAAAATTGTTAAAAATCTACTACAAAAAGATGGTGGTTCAAACGTAGCCACGTTTCGTGCTTTAAGAGTGTACTACTCAAGCAACTGGTAACATTTTTAAATAATAATGGATCGATTACAGATATTGTAAGATCCGTGCATCATCGTTTTGTCTGCTCCAGCTCAAATATCGCTAACGTGAAGTGTGAAGTCTACTTCTCGACGTTCCCAAGAGCAAAGGGCTTTTCTTATGGCACATTATGTCGTGGACTTACATTCCACATCCAAAAAAGTCCAGTTCACACAACAACTGAAGCAAGGCGACCATTCGCAATACCGTTCATAAGTCGATTGGGTGCCTGAGCAACCAGCGAGTGGACAGCGATTTTACGAACAAGATTTTTTTCAGCAACGAGGCATATTTCTCACTCGAAAGATACATAAACAAGCAAAATTGCCACAATTGGGGTTTCGAAAGTCCTCGAATAATTGAAAACTGGCCATTACATCAAAAAAAAAGTACTTTCAAGTGGGCTCTTTAGGCCGGTAGTGTAATATTTCCTTGAAAAAGACAACGGCGAGACTGCCACTGTCAATTCGGAGCGTTATGGCCGTATGATAGCCGCCTATTATTGGCGTGCAATTGAAGATCATTACTTGCCCGATAAGTGGTTTCAACAAGATGTGCGCGACTGTGGCTTTACTGCGAGACTACTGCCCGACCCATAATCTCTTATCTTAGCGATGGCAATTGGCTGCCGAGATCGTGCGGTTTCACACCGTTGCTCTCTTTTCTTATGAGGCTACGCGAAAGATTGTGCTTATGCGCATAAAACTTTAACTCTTGAACACTTGAAAACCAACATTCGTCAAGTTTTGTCTCAGTTGCCGCCCAATATATGTTAAAAAGTGGACGAAAACTACCTCAAATGGATCGAAGTTTTCGAAAATTTGTTAGGCGATCATTTGAATTATGTAGTGTGTCACATACGAGGGGCTGCTGTCTTCTTCGTGACGTTAAATAGTTGATGAAACAAATGTATAGTTTTACGTTTTTTAATTTTCGGTTAAGTGTCCCTCAAGTGAAATACACTTTTCACATTTTGAATACCATGCCCTTATACCACTGAAAAGATATCTTTTTAAAATGATTTTCAACGGCCGCTTTCATATCACTGTTGTATGAAAATCTCCTCCGAAAAAGGAAAAGGTCGCTGGGAGCCAGTTTCAGACTATAGGGTGGAGGGTCAATTTCAGTAGCTTTTAAGGTATCCCTCGCAATCCGAGCGTGACCGTACGACTGCCTCAACAAATTAGCTTTATACTGGCCGTTCATTGTAGTTACCTTTGGCAAGTAATCTATTCCTTCGCTATACCAGAAAATGGTAGCCAAAATCTTTGATGACGATTTTCCACTTTGAATTTTTTTTTAGCGGCCTTTCCTCTTTTTTTATTCATTACATAGACGCCCGTTTAGACTCGGGTTCATACTGATGAGTTCACGTTTCATTAACTGTTACGATGTGGTTGCGAATTTCATCCAAATCATCTTGGCACAACTTCAAAAAATCTTTAAAACTCTTCAATCGTCGCTGCTTGTAGAGCGGCGTGAGTATTCGCTGTACCCAACGCGTACTAATAATTTTGTTCATATTCAAATATTCATCCAAAACCTCTCCAGCTCATTCTTTGCTGATCTGTAATTCTGCTGCTATCTGCCACAATTTAATTCTTCGGTCAGCCAGTACTAATTGTTTCGACTTTCTGAACATTTTCATGTCATGACCGTCAATTAGCGCTCCTGACGTGGGACATCTCTTCCTTGCAGGTTCAGCAGAGCCCAGTTTTTTACGATCGTACATGAAGTGGCAGACTCCTGAAGAACCATTTCTTCAAAAAAAAATTTTTTCGTACATTTTTTTTTACAAAGATATATACGAATTTCATAAAAAAAAAATGATTTTTATTGCATCTTATTTACGTTTATTTTCCAAACCGCGAAATGAATAACCCCATATATAGATATGTAGTTTTAGTATTTGTCTTACCTGTCGAGCCAATAGACCACACCGCCACTGGCGTTATGCATGAGTCCCAATCATGTGGCGTCAATAAATTACTGTTACATACCGCGCCGCTACTTTTCACCCACACCTCCCAGGAGTGTGGATCCGAGCCGGGATATGACTTTGTCGAACATTCGAAGAGTGTCATATGGTGCACAAGTGGTTGGTTGGTGTTGCTGTAATTGAAATATATATATATATATGTAGTTGTATAAATGAATACAAAAGATATTTGAAATACACAATATACATACATATATACAGTCATAAATAATACATGAATGAATGAATGAATAAGTAATAAGAGAAAACTGTAAAATGAAATTATCAATGGTGGCTTGTATACCCATGCCGTAGCCAGCTTTTAGGCGCTTAAGTGTTTAAAATAATTTTAATAATATTTTTACAAAATACTCCACCTCATTCGTTTGAAGGTGAATCATCTTAGAGGCTGCACTCTCATACCGTTGGTCACGCTGCCATACAATACGATTTTGTCTAACCTAGTTTATGGAGGCACGATCTGTGTGGTAAATGCCTTGTCATAGCTGTTCAACAAAAAAATACAACAAAAACTTATTTTGAGTCACATTCTGTGTGGGGGATTCGAATTTAGATTTTAGCAACCCTTACTTGAATAGTCTAGCCCCGGTCTATGGAGATTTTATCGCACATATGCAGATCTGATTTTTGGCACAACTAATGTATTCTTCATTAAAACCGTTAGTTTGTGTCTTCACTTTCAAAGCGATGGCCGTACGTTTAATATCTTCTTCACCTCCAGAATAAACTGGGAAAGGACTAAATAATCTAACTTGATCAATGGTAGTTATTGAGGAATGAGGACCTCAAGAATCTATTGAAATATCCTTGAACCCAGTTGACGAGCATCTAGTTTTTCCAACTCTTTAAGTTAGTTTATTGGTTAGTTTAAATATTCATATATCTGCATGAGAGCAAAGTTATTGTATTATTCTTCACCTCAAAGGGACACTGGCACTTATTGATGTACTTTGGTTGGTAAACTTCTTACGTGTTGGCCTTATCCATTAAATATAAATTAAACAGCTATGAGTAATGTCTTCGAGGCTCTCAGTAGTGGTAGTTTTCATAGTTGGGCCTTAAAACGTGAAGATGTATGGAGCCATTCCTCAACTTAGAGCCCGGTCTAAGAGCCTAATGAATTCTTACTACCACGACAGTGAAATAGTAGTAAGTGCATCTCCGAGCTAGTGCTAGTCTTGAAGCAGGCGGTTTGCAATAAAAATGCGTTTTTAAATGATATCCCCTCGTCTGGCGATGTTTTGCGGCTGACTTAGAACCGATTACATAAAAATCAGCCCCGTTGAGCGGAGTTTTGGATTAAAACTTTCTTTTTGATGACGACCATTCAAAAGCTTGAAGGATCACGATTTCAGGGCAAATAAACCTAAGATATTCGGCTCGTTACTAGGAAGTTGTGGCTGTATAGCAGGTTGATATTCTTGCTTAAATTTAGGCTGACATCACCGCCTTTTTAGAGAGATGATGGACGGAACAAGGACAAACTACAATGAAGGGAGATTTTTGTTTAAATTTCCCTGATTTGCGACCACGCCTCGAAAAAGGCGAATGATGATGTGTCCAAAGAATGACCGGTTGAGCTAGGAAGGTATTTTTAACGCAACTGACGCAAAATTCCATCCCTTTAAGGAGTCATCCCAAAAAACGTTGAAGCCAATCGCCTTTGCCGAGGCACGAAATATGCTTGTGTCTAATACTAGATTCCAGTATAAGACAATTCATCAAGCTGCATGATTGCCACCGAATCGAAGAACTTGTGACCAAAGACAGTGTTCTAAAGGACGAGACGAAATATCTCTTGTCCTCAAACAAATAGTCAACCTAACTATGACGACGTAGACATTTTCGTCTATCTAGGAAAATTATTCAACACCAACAACACCATCAACAATATCAACCCAAAAATTGAACGCTGAATTAATCTTTCCAACAAGCGATACTTCACGTACGCAATTGAAAGATGAACCCCAATCTCCGCTGGTTCAAGTGCTTTATAATCTGTCATTCTACATTGCGCGGATGATGAAGACAGCCGGAAAGTCCGCATAAGGAGTTTTGGAAAGAAAGCTTCTGCGAAAAGTTATGACCCTTGTGTACTAGCGACGACGAATACTGTACACGATGAAACGATGAGACCATACAACCTCAACAATATTATTATATTGACTGTGTGCAGGTAATCAAGATGCAGCGGTTCTGCTTCCGGTCTAGGTCCGGAAGCATGAAAGTACTTTAGGTTTGAAGGAAGCCTATGACGAGAAAGAAGACAGTCGGTGTCTCATTTCAATATTATTAGCGGTTATACGAGAGTTAGAGGTGTTACTAGTTCTCTTTGGCTCCTCTTGCAATACTGACGGCTTATTTGTTTTACTAAGCTTTTATATAGAAACTCAAGTATTTCCTCATAATTATCAACTCAATATACTTGTGGCGCCTTCTGTGTGAAAAATATTTCTGCGTTAGCCACTTTGTCCTCAAAGGCAAATCAAATTTAAACACACTTTGGCTTTGACGCTCGCCGCCTGTGGTTGACACTTGACAATTAGGTTGAGTGACTTGCTTTGGTTTTGTGAATTGAGTGTTGAATGGAAATTCGCTTATAAACCCAGTGGAGAAATCAGTTGGTGAAATATTCAAGGAAAAACATTTCCTAAAAGCCAATTTATATTTGCTACGTATGACTACTTATTGAATCAGATTTTAAGAAAGACAACTGGCAAAGAGTAGCCACAACAGCCCTGGTTTTAATTGAGGCTCACTAGTACTCTAGTACTTCTGTGGTGAATGGCTTTTTTTAAACCACTTTCCCCAACAAAATAATACATAATTTAGAAGTTCTATTTGTAAGCAAAACTTTCATCGTTTTTCTACCGTTCTGAGAGCTGATGCAACGAAATTTTCTAAGTACTTCCATAACACGTATACATATTACTCTTTTGTGTAATCACTTGTCAAGCTGTGCACTTACCAGCTTCCCAATATTGGTTTGCAACTGATTGACATGAGTATTCGTATGTAATCCGTCTAGATAATACTCATGCTTGTAAAAAATTGATTGCCATTTTTATCAATCAATGCAAATATGTGTCAATATAAAAATAAGGGAATATATTTTGTTTACATTTTTAAAGGGCTGGATACCGTTTTGCATAATAGTCTGAAACTGCAGTTTTTGATATAACAGATGTTTGTTGGTACTACTAGGTGCATAATCAAAAAGACGAATAAAACAAAATATATTAAAAAAAAAAAAAAAAATAAATTTAAAGATTTAGTCAAATAAAACAATATATAGAATTTAATAAATTGAAATAAAATAAATGAAATAAAATGAGTTAAAACAAAAATATACACTAATATTAATTAAAATAAAATGAAAACACTTTAAAATGAAATAAAAACAAATGAATAAAAGGGAAACAATATTGAAAAAATATAAAAAAAAACAAACAAACAAAAAAAAAGATAAAGTAAAATAAATAAAATTAAAATAAAAAAGAATAACAATATTAGTTAGAATAAAATAAAATATATAAATTGAAATAAAAAGGTACAAATATATCAACTAAATTAAAACAAAAACAATAAAATTAATTATAAATAACATATTATATTTATTGTAAAAAAAATAAAATAAATTAAATAAAATTAAGAAAGTACAATAACATTAAATAAAAAAAGTAAAATGAATTTAAAATCCAACAATATTAATTAAAATAAAACAAAAACACTTTAAAATGAAATAAAAACAAATAAATAAAAGTGAAATAATATTACAAGAAATTAAAAAAAAAACATACAAAAAAAAGATAAAGTAAAATAAATAAAATTAAAATAAAAAAGAAGAACAATATTAATTAGAATAAAATATATAAATTGAAATAAAAAGGTACAAATATATCAACTAAATTAAAACAAAAACAATAAAATTAATTATAAATAATATATTATATTTATTGTAAAAAAAATAAAATAAATTAAATAAAAATAAGAAAGTACAATAACATTAATTCAAAAAAGTAAAATGAATTTAAAATCCAACAATATTAATTAAAATAAAACAAAAACACTTTAAAATGAAATAAAAACAAATAAGTAAACGTGAAATAATATTACAAAAAATTAAAAAAAAAAACAAACAAACAAAAAAAAAAAAAGATAAAGTAAAATAAATAAAATTAAAATAAAAAAGAAGAACAATATTAGTTAGAATAAAATAAAATATATAAATTGAAATAAAAAGGTACAAATATATCAACTAAATTAAAAAAAGAGCAATAACATTAATTATAAATAATATATTATATTTAAAAAAATAAAGTAAATTAAATAGAAATAAAAAAGTACAATAACATAAATTAAAACGAAGTAAAATGAATTTCAAATCCAACAATATTAATTAAAATAAAACCAAATAAATTAAATTAAGAAAAGTGCAATAATATTTATTAAACTAAAATAAAATAAAATGAATATTATATAAAATAAGTTTGAATTCAAATAATTTAAAATAAAAAACTATACCAAACTTAACTAAAATAAAATGAATTTAAAATTAAATAAATGGAAAAAAATAAAAATAAAAAGAAAAAGAATAATGAAACTAACTAAAGGATAAAATAAATTTAAAGAAAATAAATAAAAATAAAAAAGTACAATAATAATAAATATATTAAAATGAATTTTAAATAAAATAAATTGAAATAAAATAACAAATTAAAAAAAAAACAATAAATATAATTAAAAATTAAATTAATTGAAATTAAATGAAACAAATAAAAAAGTATATTACTGTATATTAATCAAAATAAATCACTACGGTCATATTAATAAAAATAAGATAAAATAAAATAAATTAAGATACAAAACAACAATTATATTAATTAATATAAAATAACATAAATTATAATTAAAAAGTGCGACAATATTAATGAAAATAAAATAAAATTATTTAAACAAATAAACTAAAATATAATAACTTAAAATAGAAAACTACAATAATATTAATTAAAATAAAATAAATTAAAATAGAATTATATAAAATGAATCTAGAATTAAAAATTTTAAAATAAAAGAAAATAATATAAATGAGTAAAATAATATTAGTTAATATAATAAAAAGAAATTTATTTAAATTAGAAAGTACAACAAACAATTAAAATAAAATAAAATAATATAAATTAAAATAAAAAAAACTATTATGCTATAATATTAATTTCTAATAAATAAAATAAATTAAAATTAAAAAGTACGACAATATTAATGAAAATGAAATAAAATTATTTAAAATAAAATAAAATGAAACAAAACAAACTAAAATATAATAAATCAAAATAGAAAACTACAATAATATTAATTAAAATAAAATAATTTAAAATAGAATTATATAAAATGAATCTAGAATTAAAAATTTTAAAATAAAAGAAAATAATATAAAGGAGTAATATAATATTAGTTAATATAATAAAAATAAATAAATATAAACTAGAAAGTACAACAATATTAATTAAAATAAAATAATATAAATTAAAATAAAAACTATTATGCTATAATATTAATTTCTAATAAATAAAATAAATTAAAATTGAAAAGTACGACAATATTAAAGAAAATAAAATTATTTAAAATAAAATAAAATAAAACGAAATAAACTAAAATAAAATAATTTAAAATAAAAAACCACAATGGCATTGATTAAAATAAAGTAAATTAAAATAGAATTATATAAAATGAATCTAAAATTAAAAACTTTAAAATAAAAGAAAATAATATAAAGGAGTACAATAAAATTAGTTAATATAATAAAAATAAATAAATATAAACTAGAAAGTACAACAATATTAATTGAAATAAAATAAATACAAAATCAATTAAAATACATTAATATTAATTAAAATTATTATTATTATCAAATGAATTTAAAATTAAATAAACTGCAATAAAATAAATTAAAAGAAAAAATTAAATTAACTTAATTAAAATAAATAAAATAGAGTAAAATAAATTAATTAATATAATATAATTAAAATAAATTATATTTAAATTAGAAAGTACAAAAATATTAATTAAAATAAAACAAACTCAATTAAAATACATTAATATTAATTAAAATTAAATTATATAAAAAGAATCTAAAATTAAATAAATTGAAATAAAATAAATAAAGCTAAAAACAATAAAAATAATTAAAACTAAATTAAGTAAAATTAATTAAATCTAAAATAAATTAAATCAAAATAATAAGAAATTCAATTGAAAAAATAAAAAAATTATGTAAATAATTTAAGTTAAAATGCCGCTACATAAAAATAATTAAAAAAAAAAATTAAAATAAAAAATTTAAATAAAATCAAACAAAGCGAAATAAAATAAACTGAAATTAGATGAAATAAAAAAGAATAAACAAACTAAAGTATATCATATAAAATAATTAAAAATTAAAAAGTAAATAAAAAAGGTAAATAAAATAAAAAAAATATTTATAGATTCATACAATAAAATAAAATAAAATAATTTAACAATAAATGATTAAAATTAATGAAGATTAAATATATAAAATAAAATATTTAATAGTTATATACATATATAGTTACTGTAACTATTGTTCCTTATTTATATTGTACTAATAACATAAACAAAAACATATGTATTGTACATATAGGTATGCTTGTGCTCACCTCTCTCGTGACAGCAAAGCTTCATAGCCAATTATATGATGTTTCTCATTTAGCGTGGGCGCACGTATTATCTTGCACCAGTACAATGTGTCCATGCTGCGCTCAATGGTAACCTACATATATGTGTAGAAATATATAATATATATATATATTTATAAATAAGCCGATATTAAAGTATAGATATGCTATATCTTGGCATTTAGAGAAGTATGGAACGTAAATAATTGAATTACTGTACTACGTATTCTCAGCTTATACAGTTATGTACTTACGTTTTGCACTGTTACATCCCATTTGTGTATATCAGAGTTGACTTCTTTTCGAAACATGGGTCCGAGTAGATTAAGTGATTTATAACCACGATTTTTACCATGTCCTTTTAGATCACCATAAATCGGATCTGTTTCACCGAATGTCCATAGTACTTTAACGGTGTCCACCTGTAGGAATAGATACGGAATGTTTCGAAAATGGAAATTTTTATAAAACATTTTTTAAGCTTTTCTTAAGGGAAAAAAGTATTGGGCTATGGTCCAAAAATATTAATTCTTAGGGGAAAATTCAGAAAATTTCGGAAGAAAAAAAACTGCTCGTGCTGCTTGAATTTTAGCGGAAAATTGTGGCAATGGATGAGACAAACGTGGATCCATCACGCCACTCCGAAATCTAAACGATCGTAAGTGAGCAGCAACAGGGAACCTAGTCCAAAACGGCAGAAAGCACAGTAATCGACTGGAAGTGTTGTGATCTAAAATAAATTATTTCATCGGAAGTGAGCATTAGCAGCTTTACTAGAGCGTTTGAAGGCCAAATTTTAGCTACTGGTTGTTCGTAGATCTCAAAATTATGCACACAAGAAGACCTATTTTGGAGCAAAAAATGAATCATTTCACAAAAGTAACACAACAACAAATATTTAGTTGAAAATAGGGAAAAGTCAGAGGAAATGTAGCTTAATATCTTTATTCGAACATAAGAGGATGAGAAATCCAAGGAAAAAACTAGAAATTCATTCAGAGAGTCATTCAGAGCAAAGAAACTTCGAGAAGAACAAAAAAGGGAGAGAGAGAAGATAAGTTGTATATCAACAAGAGAGCTGATGAGAACACAGAGTAGCAACTATCTAATACATATGGACGATCTTGGGGTTAACTGCGGGTTGTGGCGTGGTCTAAGTGTTCAAAGTTTAACTTTCCGAGCACCGTAGGAGAGCAATTATATATAAATTGTATAATTGGCGCTTTGTAACTGCTAAAGCAACTTTCAGCCGAGCTCCTCCTCCGATTTGCGGGCTGTGTTGTGATATTTTGCCAATGAATGGATGTGCAGTTCATTCAAAGCCACTTTCGAATGTGTTTAATTTTCTATAATTTTCGATGATGGTCGAATAAGGATCAGAGTAGTAGTACGCAATGCTAACCACTCGTCATAGGTGGCCGCAATAGTCGAGTGGTGTGCATTGCTTACCTTCACCCGGAAGGCCAGGAATCGAGTCCTGGTTCTTCCCGGCAGGGCATGTCATGCCTTCCGAGTGTATTTCTGACATTCTGACATAAAGTAAAAGTTCCTCATTAAAATCCGTTCAGAGGTGGCATACGCATACCACAAATTGGAGGAGGTTTAGGTTTTCAACTATTCTTGGTAAGAAAATTCGAAGAGAGAATCTTTGATGCAGTCGTTTAGAGATGCATTTATAAACTATCATTCTTTTAGTCTTACTCAGAAGAAGAAATATCTCTTTTCACCAAACAAATAATTGCCGTTCTTATGTCTTGGCTCTCACCTCACTGTCGACACTCAAAATTTAGTCCAACTGGGGGACAGAATTAAAGCCAATAATATGTCGGCGCTGAAATCTAACGTTAGACTAGGTCATGAGCAAGTATTCGATGCAGTATCCACTGGTGGAAGCAGAAAACTTCCGCTCCCTTTGTAGGATCAGATGGAGAGCGACTTAATTTCATTTGGTATTCTAACTGCCGTCAAATAGCGACGAGAACCCCCTGCGGGTTAAGGGTTCAATAATTTTCTCCGCGGTAAGGCATACCTGTCGTAAGAGGCGACTCTAATCCAATAGTTCCCGCGACAGTCGGGTATTTATACCGGAACGACCCGGATTTTTATCCGGCCAAGGACTGTCATTCCCGCAACATTCCCGAAAAAGTACTTTGGGGAATATTTTTGTGGTTACAACAACAACAACAACAGCAAGGATAAGGAAGAAATGGCGTGGTATTGTTGGTTCGGCTTTAATCACATAAGCGATGCGCCCCCCAATGAGGCTGGATGGAAGAATAAAATCCTTAAAAAATAGTGCAAGCCTAATGTGACAAATGTGACATTCATTTACGCCAATGATGACTAGATACGAAACTCTTTATTCCGTGAGAGCGCTCAAAAATCCGCATTTTTTATAACATTTCTGAACAGTGCCACTGTGATAGAAAAATGACTTTCTTGGATTTTTAGGTATATTTTGGGTATTTTATTACAAACAACGGCGTCTTTAATTGCAATTTCACTAAAATATTTTATTAAGAAACAATTCAATATTTAATTATATGAAGTTGTCATAATAAAATTACAAAAATTTCTTAAATATTTACTGCTGAAGCAAATTTCATTTGAAACAAAAATAATGGATTTTTTATTGACATAGTGGCACTGGTGCGTTTTGCACATCAGATGTTGAATGTTCCCCGATCTGACACTGCTGCCAACATTAGAATGTGAGATGGGGGAACGCTCTCAGCTGCAATTTGAGTGATTTTGAGCAAGTTTCGTATCTAGTCATCTTTGATTTACGCTATATCAACCCTGTGCGTTTGGAGTAACGGCTTCTAAAAACCTGATATTCGTAAATAGAAAAATGTCAAAAATATTTGGTGTGATTTGTTACAAAAAATAAAAAAAATGAGTGGTTAGATCTATTTTATTAATTGCTAATAATTTCTTGCACATTAACTAAATTTACTTCCGCTTCTAGTTATTCGTTGTGTTGAAGAACGTGATACGTCATCATTGCGTGCCATATTGGCACAACAACGACATAATCCAAAGAAATTTGATTTGGAGGAGACCGATAAGTATGGCAATACGCCACTCCTCAGGGCATGCTACTTGGCCAAAGTGGAGCATGCCGACTTATTGATACGACATGGTGCCAGTTTGAAAGCAATTAATTATTTGGGTGAGCAGATCGAAAGCTTTTGTTTTTGGTTACATTTTATAATTTTTGTTTTTGTAGGCCAAAATGCCTTAACGCTCGCAACCTACGCCGGCAGTTTGGATGTTGTGCGTTTGCTATTGAGATATCGCTCCTATACAGATTTTAATAAATCGTCGATAGTGCCAGCGTTATGTGTAGCTTGTTTACGTCAAAATCAGACATTAATAAATTTCTTCAAACGCTTCCCAGCTACTGCAGAGGAAGTGAAGACGGCTCATGGCAAGTGTTATGTGTCTACATTTTTTTTTTTACTTTTTTGTGGTGGATTTATAATTATATTAAAATAAATTTTCAGGCCTTTCACCAGCGCAAATAAGACAATGGGCAGAGATATATAATAAGTCACGCTCAGCGCAGGGCGGTCCTTCTTCATCTGCAGCTTATAGAATGCGATAATTTTTTGTGTTTTATTTTTTTATTCTTTACTGTTTTAAATAGTGTTTCAGCTGTTCTGTATTTGATACGTTTGTTGTTTGTTTTAATTTTGTTTTTGTTTTTTTTTTATGATGAGAACTCTTACTTATATTTTCATAAAAAAAAAATAAATTTCAAGTAACTAACATAAATTTTAAATTAAATTTTCGTATTTATTAAATTAGATTAAAAAAAAATATGGCAAGTGTTTATTTTTGTGCCCCACTCATATTGTTGCAAAAATAGCATATATGTATGTGAAGAGAGAAAGAGCAGCCGATGATTAAAGCATGTTCTAGCGCGCTCGGATCGAATGTTCGTTATTGAGAATAATCATAGGAGTACCTTGTAGAGAGGCGTGCGATAAATCGTTGGGTATATAGGAGTAATGGTAAACTCGCCAGCAAGTTCAGTTGAGTTTGAAATTTTCTAGCGACAATATTGGTTTAAAGTGAGATGGATTAAATTGTGTCTTTACAGGAGCATAAAATGTTAATTTGCAAAGAGTTGTATAGTTAGTAAATTGTATGGGTAAAATAAAAAAGCTGAAAAACATAAACTTGGGACTTTTATTTAACGATTCAGTGGTGGAACTAGAGGGATTTGGAAAATCATCGAGATTTATTTAGCAAAACCGTTACGATTTGCATACTTTTATTGAGTACAAGAAATGTTTTTGAAGTAATTTTATTCGAGAAAGTTTATTTATTACGATATATGTATGTATAACCCATTTGAAACCTTTTTTCTAGTGGTTTATGGCTTACTATTTTTTTTTTAAATAAATATTAATTTTTTTTTCGAATAAAATTTAACTAAAGATTTTTTATTTATTTAATTGATTAATCAGTTTTAAATCAGTTAGCAATTTGGATTAATTATTTATACAAATGGACACACAATCGCAAAATAATGTATTTTTTTGTTTCTTATTTCCAAATACTTACACCCAGTGGTAAATCGTAGGGGTCACAGGTTTCCAGTTTACGCGAAAACTCAACCCAAGTGTGCGTACCATTTTGTCCACCATCAATCACATTATAGTTTTGCGTGTCATCTTGTATTGGTGCTGCATTGGGTTGCTTGCTGGAGCCATGACAATCCTGAAATCAAATAAAAGAAAAATAAAAATAAATAAAAGCACAATAAAAATAAAGAAAAATGTTACATTCATATTATATATGCATAATTGGCGTATTGTCGGCCAAGCTTCTACTACATTTTGTGGTTTTGCGTCTTGATGTTTTTCCATCAAATGATGGGACGTACATTTCATTCTAAGCCACTTCCGCAAGGTGAATGGTTTTTGGGAGGGGCTTTGATTTTCATGCCATGTTGTCTGCCGAGGGGCGACCACACTTTTTTATATTTTTGTTAGTTTGCAAGTATGACATTGTAAGTTTTCTGTTAATCAATTTTTTGTTAGCAATATAAATAAAATAGTAGTAGAGTCTAGAAAGAGAAAGAGAGATAGAAAGGGAGAGAGAGAGAGAGAGGGGGAGAGAGAGATAGAGAGTGACAGAGAGAAAGTGACAGTGAGAGAGAGTGAGAGAGAGAGAGGGAGAGTGAGAGAGTGAGAGAGAGAGAGTGAGAGAGACAGTGAGAGTGAGTGAAAGAGAGAGAGAAAGAGAAGGAGATAACGAGAGAGAGAGGGAGAGAGAGAGAGAGAGGAAGAGAGAAAGAGAAAGAGAGAGAGGAAGAGAGAGAGAAAGAGAGAGAAAGGGAAAGAGAGAGAGAAAGAGAGAGAGAGAAAGAGAGAGAGAAAGAGAGAGAGAAAGAGAGAGAGAAAGAGAGAGAGAGAGAAAGAAAGAGAGAGAGAAATAGAAAGAGAGAAAACACAGTTGATTGTGCTCAGAAGCCAGGTATAATCCTCAGAAAAAGTCAAAAAGTTTACAAATTCAATTCACCATCCTTGTTGTAAACCTTGATAAAATACTCAGCCGGAAGGCAATTGCGTCTCTGACCGCATATGTTATAAAATCTATCCCTGGATCTTATCATGCACATTAGGTCAATTAATATACAAGTGATATATGCTCTTACATAAAAGTTCTATATAATATATATCTATATACTTAAGGTTCTGGGTAAACTACTGTGGTTCGGCACTAAGTATAACGATACTTTGTATCCTTGTAAAGGGTGATTTTTTAGCTATTAGCTTTTTGGCAACACTGGTTTAAACAGCTGACGCACGTTTCGTGCCTTGTATTACTGTCAAACATCTTCAGTTTGGTCTATGATTTAACCATGAGTGGTCTTACAAACGAACAACCCTTGTAAATTATTGAATTTTATTATCAAAATGTGTGGTCTGCGAAGAAAGTTCATCGCACGCTACTCCTATCAGCATTGTCTTCAGCGACGAAGCTCAAATGTCGATTTTGGAGTGAAGATCAGCCAGAAGCGTTGCAAGATCAACCAATCCATCCAGAAATAGTCACAGTTTGGTGCGGTTTATGGGCTGGTGCCATTAGTTGACCGTACTTCTTCAAAGATAATGCGAATCCTAACGTAACTGTGAATGGTGAGCGCTACCGTAAGATGATACAAATTTTTTTTTTTGCCCACGCGTAACAATGGAGGGCGGTATTGGTATATGAAACTAGACACGAACCAGTTTTTTATCACCAAATGTCGGCTCTGGCTTCTCCAGCGGACTGCTCTTATCCCTTAAGACTTAAGCATTTTACTTTTCCCGCTGGTTTCTCCAAATCCTTCTGTCACCAAAGATGGTATCATGGCTGAAGTGATTTTTTTTAATCACAAATGTGTTAAAGCTAGTATAAAAATTGAATTAAATTGCTGTGCTTTTTTATGGACAAGTTTGTTTCCAGCTGATTTGAAAATAGAAGAAATTAAAATCAAGACCGTTTTCTAACACCACTTCAAAGACCTCTGATTGTCTTCAAAGACTAGATGAGGTTGAATCAGCTTTTTTTTTACCTTTTTTAGTGAGTGCCAGACCGCCAGTTGTCTTTCGAAATCAAAAAATCTCAACGTCCAATATACCGGGGATCACTCTTCCCCCTGGCAATGCGAGTTCTCACAAATCGACTGAAACAACTGCCTTTTTGAACTTTCAAAACATCGATTTGATTAGTCGACACCACTGTATAGTCCTGATTTGGCACCGAATGACTTCTTTTTATTCTCGTGCATAAAAAATAAACTGCGAAGTCAACGTTTTGCGACACCTAAAGAAATGGTTGAAGCGTTCAGAAGGCATATTTTGGAGATACCTCAATCTGAGTTGGTAAAAGTGTCTCGACAATTGGTTCAAAAGCGTGCAAAAGTGTATAGATCTCAATGGAGAACATTTTAGAAAATAATAGTTCGTTTTTTGTTTTTGTAATATAATAGACAATCCTCGTAGAAAGCGCCATATCAGTATTAATTTTAAACTGAAAATTTTATTGCCACGATTTTATTCTATTTTTCATGCCATTCCACACTCGACGCTCCGACCCTCAAAGTCAACTCTTTAAAACATTTGTCACTTAACAGCAATTTAAACGTAACAAAAATTAATTATTATGCCATTAAACCACTCAAGTATAATGGGTCTTTCGTTCAAATATTTCCAAGCTTCTTCGCTATTCTTCTGCCCGTTTTGTTTTCTCTAAGCAAACACAATAATTTTAAATAGTAGCAACAATTGAAAAAAATGAAAATCCTCCTTCACTGGTGTGTCCATTTACAGGTGTGACGCAAACAACACTTTATTTAATGGTAAACACACCGAGTCCGTGGTAAGTCATAGCTTCGTCTGCAATGCACACTAGTGTACGTGTATGTGTGTATGTATGCATGTGTATGCAGCATAGCGACTTCTGTGTAAACTAAATGAGGTGTCTGTGGTAATAAATTTTGACTTTGCAGTTGCTTTGTATAGAAATATTTTAATACTTGCACAGAAAGTGAAGCGATTTGCAAAGGACCAACAAAGGTCGGCGGCAAACGACTCGAAGCGCGAAACTCGGTTGACGCTCAAGTGTGTTTCCATTTTTGCTTACAGTTTTTTCCCTTCTGCTGCAAGGAAGCATTTAATGTTGGTCATAAAACATAGTAAAGCATAAATGGGCACTTTGTTAAAATTACGGGTGAAACGGTTAAAGAAAGTAGAAAGATTAGGGAATTAGTTAAGAAAATTAAAAAAAGTAAAATAAAAATTAAAAAAAAAAAAAAAAAGAATCTGTGTTTTACATGCTTACCACGAGTTTGTTATTGTCTATAAAGAACAAAAATTTAAGTATAATGATTTAATTGGGTTAAAAATTTGGATTTTAGATCGAATTGTGCAGCCTTCGAATGGGCTAAAGACAACCGACGTATGGACACTGTTCTTAAAAAAATTATTCTAGGACCATAATACTCCGCAGTATTCTCATTCAGTCAGAATCTAGTAACCTTTGAGCTATATAAAAGAAGCAGCGTCAAACATTTTTACCATGCAGATCGACAGTTTCGAGCCTGATAGAAGCCAAACCTGCAATCTAATTTAAGGCTATAATATTAAGCTGCTATCAGAAATCAGCGAATACTCACACGGAGACCAGTTAAATGTAGAGTTTAGATGTTGTTTATTTCAAAATTTACAGCCGTTGGACTGAGAACTTCATGGAAATTTAAAGGATCTTCTGAGCACTCACTTCATAGAGTCGATTTAATGCAGTAGTTACACTGCACTTGGATTTAAATTACTTACGGAAGTTCCATGTTCGAATGTTAATTGTTTATTGATTTCAAAAAAAAGCGACGATCTCGTTAGGCAAGCGCTCAAAATGTGAAGAATCACTATATAAATAAAGGTTTAGGATTTTGTTTTCTAATCAGCTACAGAAATTCCAGCGTTGATTCCATTTACACCAGGATCGTTTGGTCGAAAATGTCTAAAGCGGACCTGCCGCTTCCAAGACTGACGGTTTCGAAGGAAGGATATATTTCCGTGGTACGAATATTCGACAGTATTTTTCAATTTCGCTCTCTGTACTCACTTTTGGATTTATTGTTATTGAGAGACTGATTAGGAATAAGGAAAGCTGATGTTAAATGATATCTTTGATTCGTTGAAGTGATCTTCATATGAAAAATGTTGAGATGGTGCGGGATGATCATTAATTGGGTGGAGACCGAGAACGAGTTCCGGGAGGAATAATTAATGAGGTACAGGGCGACCATTTCTCGTGTCGGGTAGGAAATTGAATGTGTGCTGCGGATTTTCAAAATGAGTAGAGCTAGAGAGTTCTCAAAATGGTTTTGTAAGTAAAGTTGATACTTGAAATAACCATGATATAGTGTGAATACACATTAAAGGTAGTGTCAAATTTGCAGTAATATGTTTGTGATTTATTGAAGAAAATTGGTAAATATTGGAAACATACTTCCAAAATCGTGAACCTTCCCACGCAATTCCAATCTTAATTGTCAAATTTAGATTGTCAACTGTTCGCCTCGCAGCTGCGATTCAACACGGTTGGGGCTTTTTTTTGTACCAAGCCGTTACAGATAGGTGCTACGTTTACCGACTAGAGACGATCGCTGATCCGAAACCCAAAATTATATACGACATTGTAGCCATTGAGGGACACAAAATCGAGCGAGTAACGTTGCATGATTAACTGAATTGTATAAAATCGAATTTCCATTTGGAAAGATCTACAATAGTAATCTCCAAAACTCTCCAAAAATCACCGATCGATTGACTTGAAATTTCGTAAGATTGTATCACTGATTCCTCGGATGTTTTATAGGAAACAGAGTTTCGGAAAGTGGACCAAGGACTGACCTATTTGAAGAAATCTTATTTTTCACTCGATTTACTTGAAGCTCGGTGCGTAGGTGGGCTTTTGCTGATTTACAGAAGAGTACTCTTCTCTCCAGGAAGTGGACTAGGGCCTGAGTCATCCGAAAAATTTTATGGCTCGATTTATTTGCAATTCTTTGCCCACGTATTTCGAGTATTTCGAAATATCCAAATCAAGTAGAGGGATCATGGGTGGCTGAGTGAGCGAGCTAACCTCGCATCAACAATCTAGGATGTTAACGATCTCAACCATACTATTCAGTCCACCATTGAAAGCGAATCCGTCATATAAATGTC